TCTTCCAAACTGTTTGAAATGGTGATATGCTCCAGATTAGTTGAATTTAGCTTTCAACACGCCTACTTAAAAAACAGATCGACTAGTTCCGCCATTTTTCAGTTTAAAAAAAAATGCATCTTGGAGCAGTTTCACGAAAAAAACTTAGCTATAAGCTCATTCTTAGACCTCAGTAAGGCATTCGATTGCGTAAACCATAAAATGTTATTGGATAAAATCGATAGATGTGAGATTTGCGGTAAAGCACTCAATTGGATACAATCATACCCTTCAAACAGAAAACAGCAAGTCATCGTCCAAAGTAAAAGCAATATTACAAAATATGAAATCTTACAAAATAGTACAGGGATTCCACAGGGTGGCATGCTAGGACCAATTCTTTTTATTTTTTATATATTATTTACTTATTATTATTATTATTATTATTACCGATACAGAAGTAATAAAGAAGTTTTGTAAATAATAGTGAACCGATTCATATTTACCGTCTGTTTCAAAATTCATGAAACATAAAATAAAGAAATCATTTAATTGACCAACTTAAATAATTGTAAGATAATCAGTATTCTAAGTTATACCACTTAATCTAGTCGTGAAATAATAAAATAATTGTTAAACATTAATATATTTTTTATTTTTGACGAATTGAAATTCATTCCGCAAATCCTTTTGACGTTACTTACAAATATCTACTAAGTTGATAAGGTGGTAAGTTAAGGAGGAATTCAACATGTTTTTATTTTTCACGACGCAGAGACGCAATACGAGCGATGGTCGCATGAAATGCGCACTTACCTTTCTTAAAATAATAGGTTAAAACCTTCATGGAAATTATAGAGTTCAAATGAGGGCATAATTATCCTTTTCTGAATAAGTATTTTTTTGGATTTCCCCGGAAGTGTCCAACTGTTTTTGAGCAATGAATAAAAAGTACCCTGTTAGAAAATTTTACCCTTACACCTGATACACCTCAAAACTTCAGAGGAAGACTATTCGAATCCGACGTTAGGCAGATTGAATCCGAATGTGATGCGATCAATTTTTAATGTTCGGGGGTGTTATCCGGAGCATAGATCCATACGTAGAAAATACGAGCGAAACTTATAATATGCTAGATGTTTGCAATTTCCAGTATTCCAGTGTTCCATATAAATGTAAACGGGAGTCCACCTGGACCACTTTGGGAACCAGTAGAGTACAAGGATCACTCCAAGAATTATTAATATTTGAACCTATTTTAATACTACTAGCATTTTACAAAATTTATTATTTGTTTATTATCATATGAGATTTCCAACCTCTAAACATAAACGAAATTAGTCATGGAGTAATATACGACTGAACAACGTGTAAAAATTGTGCGAGCCTATTATGAAAATGGTCGATCAAGGAAAAATGGATTTCGGGCTCTCTTCTGAGAGGACAATTCGGAATGTGGTTCAAAAATTTGAGCAAACCGGATCTGTAACTAATCTCAAACTCCCTCAAAGTGCTCGCGCAGGTCGGTCAGATCCAAATATTGCCATTGTTCGAGAAAGTGTAGCCGAAGATCCAAACACATCGATTCGTCTTCGATCGCAGCAAGCGTGCCTTACGTATTCAACCACACAGCGAATTTTAACAAAAGACTTGCATCTACACCCATATAAAGTCCAAATAACTGAGGAGCTGAAACCTCGAGATCATCAACAGCGCCGCGTGTTTGCAGAATGGATACGAGAACAAGGGATTCGTTTTTCAACGAAAATCATCTTTGGCGATGAGGCACATTTTCACGTTGGTGGCTTTGTAAACAAACACAATGCTCGTATTTGGGGATTAGAAAATCCAAGAGAGATTGTTCAAAAAGCAATGCATCCTCAAAAAGTGACTGTTTGGTGCGGAGGAATAATTGGCCCTTTTTTTTTTTCGAGGATAATGCGGAGAACGCTGTTACGGTTAATGGTGTTGTCTATCGAAACATGATATCTGATTTTTTCTGGGAGCAGTTGGAAGGTATGGACATTGAAGATTTGTGGGTCCAACAGGATGGAGCCACTTGTCACACATCCAGAGAAACGATGCAATTGCTGCGGGGCAAGTTTCCTGGTCGGATCATCTCACGTAACGGCGATATCGATTGGCCGCCGCGATCATGTGATCTTACTCCACTAGATTTTTTTTGGGGGTATCTAAAAAGCAGAGTGTATAGAAATAAACTAAACACTATTTTCAATAAACGAACTACGCCATGGCACGTGAGTCGCGGGGGTCATTTGAATGACATCATCTTTCATACCTAATTGTAATACACTAATCTAAAATGGCAAATAAAAATGTTTGTATATTTTTATATTCTTCCGAGTTTTTTTTTATTATTTTAATGTGGAAACCCTTATTGAATCACTGTTTACAATGTTTTTATTTCCTATTTCACTAAACTCCATGTTTCTATATTCAAGAATTATGCAATTCCGCACCCTAGGTACGCTACTTACAAGTAACAAAACATTTATCTAATCTAAAATTCATTCAAAGCCATCAAAATCATTGAAATCAAATTAACTTTTATTAATATCCGCGGGTGCAATAAAAAGGTGATTCCCCACTTTGCTTGCTCTCGGCTTGTGGATGAGTTTTTCCGCTGTGTATAATTTATAATCGTTTTTCAAATGTCCATTCATTTCCGTTAATATAAATAAGTGCAAGGGGCAAAATTCGAGCAGCTCTAAAGTGTGACAAAAGTGAAAAATCTTCTTCACCTTTGAGCACCCAATCCATCCGCCGATAGCCGAACGAAACGATTTGTCAATTATTCGTAGGACGCTCGACAACATTACAAAATAATTTATTTCAATTTATTCGACTCGGGCAGACGTTTCCTTTCCAATCCTACGAACCCCGACCATTGTTTTTTAATCGTCACTTTAAATTATCATTTGTCTGGCGTCGACTGTACGACTCCGAACACGCCAACCAGTAATATGTCTTATTCAAAATGCTTGTAAAACGTGTCGGGAATTCGTTCGAGGCACTGCTTTTCGGCATGTCGGACAAAAGCACTCGAATGACGGCGCACTCGTGCGTGCGCCATGATTGATTGACGCGAAATAACGTTATTTTCGGTGCGTTTCGGTTTTCGCGATTTCACCCCTTTGTCCTCCTCCAACATCGCATATTTAATTACGTCCCGTGGCGGTAAAATGGAAACAGCAAAATTTTCCATGAAACCTCGTGCCTCCGCCAATTTTCAAACAAAATTTATCTTTCGCTAAATTGGAATCACACTTGAATACTTAAGTGTCGTGCTTCCAATTTATCTTGATAAGATTTTGATTGGCTGTAACTTTTTGGTTTTTGGAGATCATCGTCATCACCTACCTTAGGCGGCCTGCGAATGTATTATTAACTATATTTTGAAGTATTCGTATTATTAGGTATTTTTTGTTGTTATCCTTCTTTTCATTTAGTTATACGTTCAGTTCATTACTGATATATTCATTTTTTATTTCGTCTCTTGTTCTACACCCCTTAACTCTTCTTGAGAATTTCATTCCTTGAACCTCGAGTCTGCTTTCTTCATACTTTATCGTTGTCATCACAAAATTGGAATCATTTCTTTCCTGATTTTGATTGTTATACATATATGTCACACACAATTTCGCACAGTTTTGCAATATTCAATTAACAGAAGCTTTTTCAAAAACGATAAATGCTAAATGAGTTTTCTCCCTTCTCTATTCATCTAATTTTTGGCAATATACTATTAAAATAATCCGGAAAATTATAGATGGGTTATGATTTTTCAAAATTAGAAAAGGTACATGGAATTTCAGCGTTGTTGCCGAACTTTTCAAAAAGTTGTCTTTTGGTCTTTGTATCCCCACGTCTGCATTAAAGGATTAATTGATGGTTCGTCTTGTTCATAGTACTTACCTTCATTTTATCAAACATGATAAATGATAATAATTGTTGACATCGTTCAAAACCATTCGAAGCCACTTTACGTGTTTGCCCTACTATCGTCAACTTTATTTTTTTACGAGGGCGCCATATTGATTTGTCAAACCTATAAATATTTTTTAAAACAACAAATATTCAAAATAAAAGATAATCAAACACTGCAAGAATAAAATCCTAAAAATTTTCACGTTCATTCAACAATAGGACCTCAGAATATAGGAAAAACTTATCCGTCTCGTATCGATGTAGCAAATCAATCAACCACATTTAATGGATTGTTTATAAATTAGATCCCTAAATTAATAAAGATTTTTAATTGAGCTAAACATGGAACCGCTAAAGGTACAATCCGATATACGATATTTCTAAGAAACGAGGAAACTATTACTAATCAAAACTGACCAAAAATTAGTTTTTCTTGAGCTGAATGTCAAAACTAAAGAGGACGGGTGAATTTTTACACTTTGATTTGTTTGTTTTTGCTTCTTTCCTTATAACGGTTAAACCAGTTTGGTCTAGGACAAACTGGTTTGGCCCGAAATCGGGTTTCCCCGGTAGACTCGATAAGGATCTTTGACTACCATTTGGCCAACCATAAAACATTTTCTTCATTTATAAATGGCCCAACCGAGTTTGATGTGGGTTACACAAGACTAGGCAAAAAAAATGGGGAAAATATTTAAAACCTAAAAATTATAATCGAAAATAACGTTTTTGACTGGGATCAAACGAAAGGATTGGTATTAAAAACTTATACCCTGTATAAATTTTATATCAATTCTATAGCAGTAAATACATTTTGGACCTTTGGATCAAAAACTTACTTTTGAAAAAAAATATCTTTGCAGATAAGATATGTAACCTTTCTAAACACCAAGGACTTCATTTCGAAATGCGAAAATATCCGCTGTGCATTAATTTGTTTCTCGAAAATTTCTGTAACTGGGCAACGATTTCGCCATATTTTGTCAAGCAAATTGAAATGACGTACGACATTAATTACGCATTAATTAAAGTATAAACTCGACTCGATAAAACTGATACCGATAATAACTTACCTTATCGTCCTCGCCTTCGCTATCACACTGAAAAAGAAATTGTATTAATTAATATTTTTGAAGAAAAAACGAAATGTTATTGAATTCATTAGATATTCAAATGATTTTATCCGAATTAAAGTGCTGTATTTTACGTATTTTACCACGTCGGTTTTGTTTCCCACGGATCCGTAACACTTCGGACATTTCCGGGATTTTAACGCACGGGTTCGAGAGTAATCGGATGTTTTCGGAGATTTTACCGCACGACTTGAATTTTGACGTGTGTCAATTCTTACTGTCATGTCAGTGAATGTATTCGTGTTGTTTTTGCAAAAATGTATTCAACAACCGACGGTCGTAAAAAAAGTATAGTATGCAATACGTTTGGTAAACTTTCTACATCACTCGTTTCGCTAGTGCCAAAAAATTTTACTATGAAATTATACATTATCTCGGAATCTGAAAAAAATATATAAGAAAATTAAAGTCAAAAGTTGTTTGGATTCGCGTATACTTTCCAAATACACACTATATTGTTGTTCGTGTTTTCGTGGAACTTTCTTATTTTAAATAGAACACTTGTCATTTTTTAAGTCAGCGTAAAATTGTAGACAATATGTCGTATATAATATACCTACGTCTTCCTGTTTCTGGCATATTGAATTTTATGTCAAAAGTGACATTTGCAGGTCCAAATATTGTGTATCGATTTTTGGATAAACATATTTTAGATTTAGATGCTTTTGTTATATATTTGGTGTTCCCTTATAGGAGATCTTATGTCGAAATTTTAAAAATAAATAAATAGGAAGTGATCAAAAACCACCCTTAAAATTTTAAATAAGAAAATCGTTTTCTCAAATAAGCAACCCTTTACAAAGCTAATCCTTTTTAACGACAAATTTATAAAAAAGTGGAGTGTTTGCATTTAGAAAAAACGACTTTTGACATTTTCTCCTTACGCTTGAATGGTAATTTCTGATCACCACTGAAGAAATCAACCCTTATGTATGTATAAAAAGCTTTCAGTCAGAGAAATAGATAGATCTATTTACATCTCAAACGTCATAAAATAAAATTGAGAAAATAAATAAAATAAATAAAGTTCAAAATATGACAGAAACGATAAGACTTAGGTATGAGATATTAGATAAGAAATTTGTCTAGAAAGTTCCAAGGAATTTAAAAATGCTTTAATATACTATTTAAAATAAGACAGTTGTATATATAACAATTCAATATTTTAAAAGTATAACTGAATCCAAATAACTATTGTCCATAAATTTTGCTAATGTTTTTTACAGGTTCCCAGATCGAGAAAAACAAATATATTCACTGAGTAGAGTGTGATGCGCCGTCAGAATCCACAAACATCAAAACACCATGGCTAAGAATTTAAGGGCAGAGGGCAGAAAAAATATTTTTTCGGTTGGAATGCCAAGGCTTTTTTTTTTAAATAATATCTCCACTTTGAAATACTCGTCTACTACAACGCGTACTTAAGTGATACAATCGATAACAAAATTCAACTCGATAACTCGCCTTTATCAGCGGTTTCCAAGCGGATTTTAAATCGACGACAAATAAAAATAAATGCCCTAGAATCTCGAAGGAAAGTGGAAAGCATATACTTGCCGGATAAGAAGTTTTCGGGATCCTCGGAAACGCGATCAAAACCTTATACAATATAAATTTGGTTTATATCCGACTTCGAACAAAGATGGCAATTTGCCCGCATCGTGCAGTTTTCAAAAACTCACAAATTAGAATCAAAAAGAATCCGGGCGCTGTGAAATTCGGTATTTCCATGCCACATACATATTTTGGTAATCCTTCATTATAAAGATGTACCAAAAACACTTATTTTTGAAACCGAAAATTCATAAACAAACTCCACAAGAAAATTCCATCTTCTGAGGCTAGGGGTTTTTGGTGGTCTAAAGTGCTCAGTTCGGTAAACAAAATAAAATAAATAAATAAAAAATAAAAATTACTTTATGAAAGATATCACCAAAGCGACGAGAGCTAAGAGCTAAAGTTTAAAATAAAGTCCCATTATACTTCAACAAGTACTTCATATAAGAAAAATAAATTATTATTATCACATTAAATTATTAGAACAATTAAAAAAATATATAACGGGGATTATGTACAGAGCCCACGACAACACATACAGGGCGGCTGCTTTGGAAAAAAATTGTTAATAGATGTTAGGTAAAGTTGAAAACTAAACATCTCAAAAATATTACCTGTTAATTATACAGGGTGTTTCATAAAAGTATGGCAATAAATATTTTTAAATTGAACCTTATATATTATTGCAGAACACAAGAGAGTGTGTTCGTTTAAAAAGTCAGTAAATTACATTGAAATAATTTGTCTTAATATTAAAAAATATCATTTTCACATAATAAAGACAGATCATAGGAAAATACGCTTTTCAAAATAATTTTCCCAATAAGGTTTTCAACGTTGTATTAAAATTCGATAACAATGACGGCGTCAGATAAGCATTTCTTTGATTAATTGTAATAGTAATAAAGTAATGTTAATTTTGGATGGCTGAGATTCTATAAAACGCCCTATATATTTGATAATATTTTTAAAACGTTTAAAACTATTGCGTCCATCTGCATATTTTTCATAAATAAAATAATAAATTGGAAAGAAAATACGTATATAACATCTTAAATTTTTTCAAAGCTATTTTGACCATGATAAAAAGTATTTAAATTTTTATGCCTGAAAGTAATTTTTGTTTATCCGTCGGTTGAATTCATGGCGCCGAATTTTTCCGCCGAGTTTAATTTTATGTAGAATAGAGTTCTAGATAGAATAAAGTTTAAAATAAAATATTATTTTTATGTCATATATATACCACCTTAAAATATTTTTACGAAAATTTAATATTCCTATAAGAAAAATAATTTGGTTGCTGCGTTATTATTATTAATAGAATTATTAATTTCCACTGATTTGACAAAATATTTGAATAGATGTTGAATAGAATGAAAATATAAACATTTCAAAAATACTTTGAATTATACCATTAATTATTGTTGGACAAGAAATAACTAAATAAAAATGTATAAAAAGTCCAACGACAATATTAAGATCGATGTTATATATTAAAAAAAAATTCATTTTCACATTACAGGAAAACATGTTTTTTAAAATATATTCCCAATTAGTTTTTCAACATGGCAATATAAATAAATACAGGGTTTTCCGTTTAAAAACTGTATATTCTCATAAGCTTTTATGCTCTACCATTGATATTTTTTTATTATTGTGTAGAAGCTCATTAAGAGTTTTTTTTTTAATATAAATCTGTAAATAAAATAATACTCTTAAAAGAACAATGGAACAGATAGTTTAATTTTTTCAAAAATATTTTCAAGCATACCCAAAATTCCGCGCCACTCAAATTAGTTTTACAGTGTCTCTTTTATTTCATTTTTTATTATTTCTAATTTTCAAATTTGTAATTACCTATCGCTTTCACCCACAGCTTTTTTTAATTGAGCCACAAAAAAGCTTCCATCGAAAAAAACCCCAAAAATTCCGGGATTTGTTTTTCCGGGGGACGACCCTAATTTAAATTAATACCGGTTCGCCATGATTTTCTTTTTTTTATTAACGAAACCTTAAACGCGAAATGAATCGCCCGAATTCGCCTCTTATTTAAATAATAATCTTTTAAATAAAGATACATCGACCGTTTACCGGGGGAAAACGTCGGAAAAAAAAAATGCCCCGTCACTAAACCCCGGAATATAAAAGCAAAGTGGAACACGGAGAATGTATTCGGGGGAACATTAAGGCAATATTTTTCCCTACAGTACGGTTTTTCGCTCCCCGGGTTTTTCCATCGACTCGATGAAAATACACTTTTCTTCGTCGACGGTAAAAACGGAGAAATAATCAAGAGAAAGCGTTTTTTGTCGCGTTCCGAACGAAATTGAGTATGGCGAAAAAGAAACGACAAGACGAATCGTTTTTGGGGGGTTAAGTTACTTTACCGTTCGACGCAAAAACAAAGAGTAAAACATGTTTGGGTGAGAACGCCCTCGCGAAAATGTTTGCGAGATGACGAGGTCAACGCGGGGGTGCAAAAAAAAGGTGGCATCCTTTGTCTTCGATGAGTACACATACCAAATAGATTATGACTTAAAAAACTCGACAGGAAACAAAAATAACTTTCATTTAAAAAAAATATATAAATTTCGCTATAAAAAGCATAGGGGCAAGCATAGTATAGTATGCTTCCTGGGGAAATCAGAGACGCAAACCAAAAGAAATTCAAAATATATTTAAAATCTTTGCTGACAGCAAATGCTTCTTATTACCTGCAATGAATAAGAAAATCACAAGAACAATAGAAAATTTTTTTTAATTCCATTGCCCCTTTGTTTATTATTATTTTCTTGTAATACATTTTTTGTTTTATATAATATTTTTAAATATTTAGAATTTTGAAAAATATTTAGATATATTGCAATTTTTTCTGACTTTCCTTTGTAATATTGGAATTAGTGAATAAATGTCTTCTCGACTACGTTATTCTATTCTACGTATTACGAACTGCCATTCAGTCTGTACCGTTGATGTAGTTTTTAGATTTTGTGATCACTTACCCAGGTCTACAGTAATTTTGATGTTGAAAAAACGCCATATTTTTGCTCCACCACATCATTTTTTTTATAGCGCTCTATATCTTAAAAATGAATAAATAAAAATAAATAAAAACTGATTTCTGTAAAATTAAATGTGATTTGGCATGGATAATATTAGATTTTAAATGGAGAAAAAATATTGCCATCACCGGCTTGTTAACATTTGGGTCTTCGTATTGATTCTCGTTTGCGATTTAATACTCATGTTAATAAAATTCTTTACATATATTAATTCAACTAAATTTAATTAAAACATAAAAAAATAAGTAAAAACGTAAAACTAAAGCTTTGTCTTATAATCTCCTAACTCGGTGTGAAATAGTCTACGTTAATGCTATGGACTAATTAAATCTGGTGGTTTGTATCATATCCCCGTCATCAAACACTCCTCTGTTTATTAGGTCCTTTAGTTACAATGCCCTGAAGGGTTATAACAAAATCCCCCCCCCCAAAATCTGGGTGACATTAGAACATTTAAGTTCGAAATCAGAAACATTGATTATTGTGGGTAAAAACTATACTCCCAGTGCATTTTTTTTGTGTGGAGATAATATCTTATTATTTCATAATTTTTTTCTCTCCTGTTTGTGGCTGTGTAATACAAGCGCTAGCGTAAATTATTGTAGCTGTTTTAAATAAACACATTATTTGTGTATTCATTATTTATTTAAATTGTTTGGATGTGCGACTCGAAAAAGGAAGTCCTGTCGAATATTGATCAGGCGAGGAATTTTTTTTCATGAGTATGAAAACATTTTCTCCAAGAACGGATCTCACCATGGAGCTTAGAATTCGAATGATAAGATGCTACGCTGTCTCGCTCTATAGCTTTGAGAGCTGGACCCTACACCTTCGGACAGAGAAAAAATAAATTTGACCTTTACAAAACTAAACAAATTGAGTTATCGAATACCATCAAGGAAAGAAAAGCACAATATTTAGGTCACCTGGTAAGAGGAGAGAGTTACGAATTACTTCGGCTGGTAATAGAGAGAAAAGTCCAAGGATAAAGATCATTAGTAAGTAACCAAAATTCATGGCCAAAAAAATTGGTTTAATTGGTTGATGGCTCCTCTACGGAAATCTTTAGTGCTGGAGTTTCCAAAGCTACAATTGCCATTTGGATCGTCAACTAACCAACCAAACTTTATAGCCGTATTTTACCAGTCTCCATGTACTATTGACGAAGCCAAGAATTTCAAATTAAATTAAATTCTTTTAACTTGTATTAAAGACCTCCAATTTTGAAGTCATTATATTGAAAAGTTTAAAAACATTTTCAATTTTAACAACTGAACTAAATATAGTTTAATTAAATTATTTTGGTCCAAAAAACATATTAATGATTCATTCTTGATCTGGCAGTCTGTATATCCGGTGGTCTAATGTTAAACTGTCAAATAGTTAGGATCGAATATTTCAAAAATCTTTTAAAGCCGCTGATATTTTGGTTGTGAGGCTCAAATCGAAAACCGTTTGCCCCACTTATTAAATACAATACAACGACCGTTTTAAATAATCCTAATCCGTGTTAAAATTAAAATGATGAGCCACTTACGATATATCCTTTTCCTGAACTGCATCTACTGCTGGCCTGCAACAAAAAAGACGAGAAAATAGCATCGTTAATGCGATTTTTCAAACTACCTCCGGAACGGCAAAGCTTTCGCAGGGCCATAGAATTAGTATCAATATTTTAAAAGTTTCGACAAGTTAGCTCGGGGCCGCCGTCCCGGTCGGGACGAGCCCCACTGCGCCGGGGAGTAGCTTTCAACTTTGTTAAATTAATAGTTCGAAAGTCGAAAACATTGGAAAATTTCCCGGGGAACGTTTTGCGAAATAAGAAAATAAAAGGCGAGCCGTCGTCTAACGAATATTGAGAACAAGATTGTCTTTTATCGCTTATTTTAAAGTTGCCTCGCAAATTGGGTAATTAAATTCGCAATAACTTGCCGATACTTAAGCAGGCCGACGCTCGTTTAAAGTTAACTTGTTATTAGAAACTTAAATGTCATTAAACATATTATTTCGACAAATTAGCGCAGTATTTGGCTAGGAAGAAGGGATATTCGAGATATTTAAATAAAGTCAACTAATAAACTAAAAATTATTTTGAATATTACAAAAGGACCGATAAGACCGAAAGTATTGAACCACCAAAAATATTGTGCATTTATTGTTTTGACGTTTTAAGTATTTTACAGTACCTTAACCTTAACCTTAGACGTTTATTCTGTATTTTCAATTTGATTAATTTCGAATAAGTACAAACGTTTATTTTAACATCAGGTGATATGTATCGTACTTAAGAGTTTAATGTAAATTCCAATATGTTTGTATATATTACGGAGGTATTTGAATGTGAGTAAGCACGTATTTATGTATGGTCTGTTCATAGATATAAGAAAGTGACCAATTGCTTTTGAATGGGATTATCAATGCAACAAGAATTTAAATGCAGGTAAAATTGTGGTCCGTAATAGAAAATAATTTTATACCTACCTGGTTTAATATTCTTTGGTTTGGTATACTACTTAGTTTAAGTTTATTAGTAATCATTTTTATTTCGTGTGTAATACAGCGTGTGTTGAATCGTGTGCGAATTATGCAAAATATATGCGCGTCTAGTGTATCTCAGGAGATACTCCCGCCCAAATGTAGAGAACACTATTCTATTGAGACTAAGGAAGTTATAAACAATGTTGATTTGATTCTCATTGAACGTGGTGCCAGCAAGCAAGCATCTTTAGAAGAAACGGCCACATTGACGACAATTCCAACATGGAAAATTGTGAATAATTCGATTTCCGTGAGGAAAAAAAGAAGCGATGCTGACATTTTTTCGAGTGTAGATGAAAGTGATCAAAATATAATACGGAGTAAAATTTATAAAATTTACCAGTTATACAAGGAACAAAGATGAAACCGGTGTTAAATGTGGCAGAACTACCTTATGGAAGTGTATTCAACACATGGGTTTTAGATTTAAAAAAATTGACAAAAGGCAAGTTATAATGGAATCTTTTAGAATTAGGAAATGGCGACTGGAATATCTACAAAAAATTAGGATTTACAGAAAACAACAAAGGCCAATTATTTACTTGTATGAAACCTGGTTCGACACTTATGATACCCCGGAAAAGGGTTGGGTTGACTCAATTGATAAATCTAAAACAAACGCGCGATCAAAAAGAGATAAAAGAATAACTATTTTGCATGTTGGCTCTAAAGATGGTTGGAATTCAAATGGACTTTCTCTGTCTGCGAAAAACATTAAAGATTCTTCTCTGGATTACCATGAAGACACCACGGCTGATTTATTTGAAAGTTGGTTTAAAAACAAACTAGTTCCAAACATTCCTCCTAATAGCGTCATTGTAATGGACAATGCAAGTTATCACAGTAGACAGTTGACTAAAACCCCTTCCTCATGTGACACAAAAGCAACAATCCAAAACTACATGTATAATAACGACATTTATTTTCACGAAGATTATACCAAAAAGCAATTAATTGAGGTTCTACAAAGCTTGAACCTCCAAAAGTGATAATTATGCACAAAATCTAGGGCACACAGTTTTAAGGCTTCCACCTTACCACTGTATATTTAATCCCATTGAACATGTTTGGCACCAACTGAAATCTGCCATTCGTCGTAACAATGTTTTTCCCCGTGTTAATTCCAATGTCCTCAAACTTATAGAAACCGAAGTTTTTAATATCCGTCCACAAAGTTGGGCAAATTCTGCTAAACATATAGAAAAAGCACAACAATCATATATCCATATTGTAAATAATATAGAACAAATAATAATTAGAACAGGCGATGATAGCGATAGTGATACTGACATATTATGTGAACAATTTTAAGTAATTTAATAAAAATAATTTGTAATTTGATTTTAGATTTAAACATAAATACATAAATAAATAAATATTGTTTAGTGTCTTTCCTAACAAACCCCAAATAATTAACTTCTAAGCAAAGTACGGACTTGTCAGGCCATATTTCATTCTTACAGCTTGCCCGGGTCTTTCCTTAATTCGCATCAGTTAGTCACTTTCTTATATCTATGAACAGACTTTACCTGTACTCTATTTATTTTACAGGTAAGTTTAAAAATGATCATTTTTATCTTGTGTGCCTGTCGCTTAACAACATTCTTCTTCTTGTATTTTTGTCTCTTCTACATGGTTCTTTGACTTGTAAACAACAATCTTTTTTTAAGACTATAGATTTTATTCGCGATTCGTTAGCACAACAAAACGGACAAGAAATCTTGAGATTACCCCCGTATCATTGTATATTTAACCCGATTGAGATGATTTGGTCCGAGTTGAAAGCGCATATGAAAAGAAATAACACTAAAATTAAATAATAGTACCATAAATATAATTCGGCAAGAGGTAGCTACAGCGATTGGTGGCGGAGTTGATCATTGAACTAGGTGACAGTAGCGATAGTGTTAATTTTTTAAGTGACTGATACTTTATCATTATCATTATTATATTTACTACTTTGTATATTAATAATGATACTACGTAGAAATATAATGAAATAGAAAGAAATAAATAGATACTTTGTACCATTCTTTTATGTACATATTTCAATAATTGCTCGGCGAAAAAGAATTGAAAACATATTTATATTCCGCTTGTTAGTGTAGGTAGACAAATTCCTAGGACGGTCCTGGAATGGTTGTTCTATATGGGGCTGCGGTTTTGGAGTAATAAGCAGTAGGCAAAGTTAATCAGGGAGTCGGTTGTAAAAACACAATATTTCTGGTCATGGTATACCAGTTTTGGTCGACGGTTAAACTCTTATTAATTGCATTACAACTACTACTAATTTCAATTATATATTTTCTGCTTTTTAAAATAGGTGCTCTCTCCTAACTATACGATCTAGGATTCCCTTTGCAGTTTTAGGGCTGTCCGGTAGATTTTTATAATATACGATAACGTAACGCAGCGAAATTAACGCACCACTAATTTATTTTGAATTATCTTTGAAAATTCATGTAAAAATGAAAATATTTATTTTTGTTGCAAACTACCATAGTACATACATTTCAAATTAATACAGTTTATCCTATTTTAATTTTGTTGGAATTCACATAAATAACATACCTCGTTTTTCGTAAGCTCTATTGCTAAAATTACGGTGTATTATGGAACGCCAATCTGGAAATTTGACCGTCGAAAAGTGTGTACCGGCAGTCATTCTGTATGGAAAAGGGACGGAGCTTTCGAAGTCAGAGTCTCTGCTTTAAGACAACGGTGTGTGACAAAAGATTGCTGCAGACACAGCTACAGGAAGCACAGGCTCAGAATTTCAACTGTTACTGTTCGTTGACCCCTAGCTGAATCTAATCTGAGACCAAGAAATCAGAGCTTTGTAGAGCAAGGTTAAATTTTGCTAGAGAACATATCGATTGGTTTGATGAAGACTGGGAAGTTCTGAAGAGTTCTTTGTTCAGCTTTTCTGTCTACAACTGAGAGAGACGTATAAGAATTCCAAAACACAAGATTATTTGGTGTAAGGTCAGTTATGTTCTTGGGAGCAATATCTTTTGCAACTCGTACACGCATGGTGGTTATTAACATGTGATGCCATTTGACCATTACATTGTTGAGAAGTTTTTGTTTCGGCAAGATAATGCTCGATCGCATGTTGCTCAGATTGTACAAAATTTTCTTATTGAAACTATGGATTGGTCAGCAACCGGTCCTGATCTTAAACCAATTGAGAATGTTTGGGAAATGATCTACAGAACTTCCTAACTGTTCCAACTTCCAATGGACTCCCTGGAGATATCGTCCAAATTTGGTTCAAAACTAGATAAGCATGAATAATCGCTGTCGTGCTGTTATTCAAAACAGAGTAGCAAATACCCGACATTAATTATTTTTAACTAGAGTTAATAGTTTTTTCATTTTTTGAATTTCCTTTTTTTCATCTTCCTTTGGAATTTCATCTTCTGTTAATACCTTTATTAGGCTAGAATACGAATGTACTTAACTAAGACATCAACATAATTGACGAGTATTATGAAATAAAAAATATTTTTCGAAATAGAGTAGTGGTGCGTTAATTTTGCAGGGCGGTGCATTTTTGAAGATCAATTTCAAACCAACAAAAAAAATAATAATACCAAATAAAAAATAAATATCTCAATGTATTTTTTTTTAATTAGCCTTAAGAGAAGCAAGGAATTCAAAAATAGACTTCTACTTACGTCGCTCAGGCGGTCCCTGGAACTATCAGCGTCACGAGGCGCCACTGATGAACCAGTCAGTCGTTCCGATGCCCGTCCACTATCGTCGCTAGTGGCCGGGTCCTGAGTTAAAGTCAACCCCTAAACAAAAACGGACAATGTAATTCACGAAACGAAATTGCAATAATAATTTTTATGTAGAACATTTTTGACCATCGAAGCGAAAATATTGTACCCTGTACTATAGAATAAATACTTTAATTGTTTCGTCACGGCATTTGGAAAAAAATAAATGACCCATTAAAATTAATAACTAACTATATCGTTAAATAACAGTCCAATTGGGTTAGAGTCAAACTTAAATATTAAATAACTATAAAATCGAATATAAATCAAGCGGGTGCGGTCTTCGGAAGCAAGGCCGTCGTTAATAATACATTTTAAATTTTAATGTTCGGAGTTTTTGGTCAACAATATCGATTTATTTGCCGGCAACTATGCGATACGATAAAGGGGCGTAATAGCGACGTAATAGCGCGTATATTTAAAAGTGATATGGATTTTTTGAAAATTTGGAAAATGTAACTCAATCCAACCCAAAAAACGGTAGATGTGGAAAATAAAAACCGATTAGAAACAGCTTATATTCTGGAACTCACTTCTTCATAAAAGAAAACATGAAACAACGATATGCTACCCAAAAAATGTAAAAAATAGTCTTCAGAGGGTCTTTCGGGACGCCACTGGGTTTGATAACTTTAACCTAATTGAGACTACGATTTGTCCTTACTGCCTTAAAGCGACATTCTCTTATATGAACTTTTTTAAGGTTTAAGGTTGGGATCGTACTTTTTTATCGCCATAGAGAAAGCATTGTTTCAAAATATTTTCTTCATTCACTAATTAAAACATAGTTGCCTATATTTATTTTGAAAATTCATTCACACATTCCCTACAATTCTTTTCTTCAATAATAATAATAAATAATATGACAATCCTACTTTTTTTCTCTTGTTTCGTAAGGTATTCGCTTTTCTTTTAAATCCTCGTTAAATGACTCAAAGATGTCATAGAGGGTCAAATAAAATAATATTGGATGCTCATGGTCCTATAGCAAACAGCATTGGAATAGTTGTGAGAATACAGCCCCCGACGCTTTTTCTTTAAATCTTTTTTTTTTCAAATTACGAGGGCAGGTTTATAAGTCCTTGGCCTGACAACGAAGATAAGTAAGGAGCCGATTTTTGTCTCATTGTGTCCACTTATTTTGACTTTTTTATTTTCAGAGGTGGAGTGGTGAATCCATGTTTCATCCATACTAATAAATCGACATAAAAATTCAACAGGATTTCATTTAGACTGCCTAATCCAACAGTTTTCCTTCTGAACTTTTGTTCAGAGTTTTGGATAGTAGCGAGGCACCCATCTTGCGCTGGACTTCTAAACTAGCAAAAGACTAGCAAAGTATTATTTAAAGTTTTTCAAAGAAACTTCCACAGGCTACTGTAATGCTTTTTACAAAATTTCTGGATTCCTCCTGCGTCGGTTTTTGCTTAGTCGAAATTGCTGACGTTTCGCCAATCATCCCGTTGGCTTCGTCAGGGCTTGATTGAAACTGAAACCAGAGCATATCGATATAGATTCGAACTTCTGGAATTCAGTAATATTTGCCGATGAGACCAAGATAAACTTATTTGGATCCGATGGAAACATATCAGTATGGAGACAGCCTAAGGAAGAATTAAAATTGAAAAATTTAAGAGCGAAACGTCAGCAATTTCGACTAAGCAAAAACCGACGCAGGAGGAATCCGGAAAATTTGTAAAAAGTATTATTTAGAGTATTGCTAATGTGACCTTTTGATATTCAGAAATCTATCTAACCAGTGAATATCCTGGCGAGCAGGGTTTCAGTGAGTGGAGCAATCTCTATGTCAGGTCTGGGAGTTATCAGCCCACCTTCGTATTTTGGAAAGACCAAAACAAGGTTAACTGCTTCGTTTAAACAAATCAACTTTGCATTATTCCTTAAAATTCTTAGAAGGAAAGATACCAAAGGAAAAACACTAAATCCTAATTCGAATTGGAATGCACACAGAACGAACATCGGTGCACCATCTCCGCCATGCTAAATCCCGTTTAATACGTTAAAGCTTTAGAGCTAAACGCTAATGTCTGGAAACGCACACGGAAATCAGCGGCAAAGTGGGATGAAACGCACGGGTGGCCCAGTTTATCTGCGTTAAATCCGAGGAAAACGGAGTGGCCGCAAATTACGTAGAGAATAATAATTAAACCCCGACGGCTCGGACAAAACTGACAACAAATTAACGAACTCGAAGCTGCGAATAATATAGGCGACTCTCTATTGCGATAGAAATTAGACAACCCATGACCGGTTTCTATTGCAAAACGGTGACACGGTTAGATAGCAGTTTGTTTAAAATTACGGACTACGCAAAAATTAACCACAGACGCATTTTGGAAGTTCAACCGTGGGCCTCTGCGGTAACCCGGCAGAAAAATGCCCTTACTTATCAAAAACAAATTCTACAAGGGAGACAAAAAAACTGCTTTAAACTGCCATGTCAATAAAAAAGGCGATTTTTTTAATTGAATCGTATATTTTAATGTTTCACTAATAGATGGCGACAGTTGTTTTAATATCTCTTCATATATGTAAACTGTTCTGCTCATGCGCAAATAAATAAATAAGCATCCTCGTTAAGTCTCAAACTGTAACTCCGTCATGGTTCTTGTTATGGTTTTTAATATGAACAGTCCCAAGTTTTCTCTTATATTTGCCAGATAAATCTATTAAAATTTTGGTTTAATTCACGTCCAAAAAAAAAAAACAACTTATTGAAATTAAGTTAGTCTTTTTGTCTTAAATATGCGTTCCCCGAAACAATTCGACGAATCCTGCGAAAAAATAACTTACACGGTCGAACTGCTAGAAATAAGCCTTTCATTAGCGGAAGAAATAGACGCGTGAGATTGGCATTCGCTAGAGAGCATATTGATAAAGATTTTAACTTCTGGAATTCAGTAATATTTGCCGATGAGACCAAGATAACCTTCTTATTTGGATCGAATGGAAAAATATCAATATGGAGATAGCCTAAGGAAGAATTCAAATTGAAAAATTTAAAAGATAAGGTAAAGCGCGACGCATGTGGAGTGATGTGGGGCTGTATGTCATTTGCAGGACTAAATATGCATTTCATTGAAGGAAATATGAACCAATATGTATATTTGGATATATTAAGACAGCATCTGGTTGCCAATGCCCAATATGGGTAACAATTATCGGTTCTATCATGACAATGATCCAAACCACACATGATTCGGGTCCGCAGTTGGTTGTTTTATAACTACCCAAATGTTATTAAGACACCCGCCCAGTTACCAGGCTTAAAGTAATTGAAAATTTGTGGTTGACACTAAAAAACAGAGTAAATAGTGCCACAATACTTAACAAGAATGAATTACTGAAGTATGGAACACAATTTCCCCGGAGTATACTAGAAAATTAGTTGAATCAATACCCAGAAGACTACATATTAGGAGTATTTCAAATTATGCAGTTGTTTTTCTTTATTGATTTGGTTATATTTCGTCATTTATGTTGTGACGTTACCATTGTATATAATTTAATTAATTATTAAGTGTTAACTAAGTAAGGCATATTCTAGAAGGCTCTTTACAAACTTAATTTCGATAATTTTTTTTTTCCAAACAAAAAAAGAGACATTCAGACCAGTTACCTTTTTGTTATAGCGACTGCATCATTTAAGCTGTGAGTCACTGTATGTTCTTTTTTCGTTACAGTATTGGAACTAGCAAGGTCTCAAGCGGCAACAGCTGTCGATGCAACATCGAATTCTAACCTCAAACATGTAGGTAAAACAATTTAGTCAGAATCTACGTTATTTCTTGTTTTTTTTTTTTTAAACCACATTATAAAAGAAAGTATAGGAATTATTCACTATATTATCAATGTCCATTAGCAAGTTTTTGCCAATTTTGAATTTTTCTAAAAAACATATTTTGCGTTGTCTTTATTTTCTTGCAGGTACAAACAGGGTAATTATTTTTGGCAGATAAATTACAGCGAAGAATAAAGAATTTGTTCCCACATTTGATTCTTACGTTCTTACTAAGACGTAAACGTGCATATTTTGCTAAACTTCTTTATTAATTAACTTGGGCTTTCAATACCATATATTTCACGCCTAATATGTGCCATCGACGGGACGAAAATAAACTCGGAAACTCATTTATTTACGAAAAAAGATTCTTATCACGGCACACGTAAAAATATCAAACAAAACAATCCGTTACGGCGCGTAATCTAACACAATTTATATCAAATATATGCCTATGTTATTGTTAGCGCAATAATTACAGCTAAAGAAAATAATTACGGCTCCGATTAAATATGTAAATATTTATTCAATTTAACGGATTGTATTTATTTAAGTCGAAATATCGTTCTGGTTTACATTTCGGGCTGATAAATCGTCCAATATTAATATACGACTTCCGAGTGAATAAACTGAGAAATGATAATTGATTTTATTAAAGTTTAAAAATACCTAGACATTTTTTTCAACTCATTAGAAAACAGTATGGTGACGTTAAAAACAATATTTATCTCTCTTAGACCACGTTATAATTCGTCCTGTTTTAACTTTCGCGTGCCTTACAAAGTGCAAATAGCAAGAGGTATGAGAGAGAGAGAGTGAGAGGGAGAGAGCGACACAGAGAGGGAGAGAGGAAAGTTATTTTGAAGCGGAGAGTGGTGACGTCACCTTAGCCTTTTCTGCCGACGTTGTTTCTGTATACTTACATGATTATTATTATGTACTAAAATGTGGTTGGTGATGTGCGCTTTGGGTTCCAGCTTAGGTCTTTCGACTTCGGTAAGACGTTTGATACCCTCCTTGGCCGCTATCTTTACCACCAACTGGAACAACGAAAGAGACTGTTATAAATCAATTGCCATCGAAAGTGAATGAGGATCGACCAGCGCAACGAAAATAATAAACACCGCAAAATTATTAGGTGTCATTAAAATGTAATGAAATTACAATTTAAAGTTTGAAAACAAAAGTTATTTGTTAATTAACACTACCACGCCCGACATTATTAGGCCAATGATCGTAAAATCCTTTACGCCGCAGTCAGTGCCGCGTAGGTTTGTACTCTGTTCGTTCGCAATTGGGAATAATAAAATCTTAACGGGATTTAAGGAAACCCAGTGGCATAAATTCCAAATTGAAAAAGCGGCATCGGAAAATTATACTTAATAAAACTTAATATTATGAAATTTATGAAAAAAAATAAAAACAAAAATTCTGTAAAATGCTTTAATTTTTTTTTTGGCTTCACTTTAAAATTAATTTTAAAATAAATTCCAGAATTATGTTGCCACTTGAATATATGCAATTAAGAATGTTTTTTCTATTCTTTTCTTAATCCTTTTCTTTCAACCTGCTGCTTTTCTTTCAACCACAGGTGATGAAATCCGTCCAACATCGAACGGATCAGGGTTGGGCTCATCTTAATCAAGTGATGTAAATCACGATTAAAATCATGCTTTAAATCAAACTCTAATTTTTTAAAATCTTTTTTAATTGAAACGAACACAAAAAGCACAACGTAAAAGTATTATCACAAATAAAAAGTAAAACACAACTCTAAAAAAATAAGACAAATAACATAATATACACTGTATAGTTTGCACAAAAGTACTAATTTTCCCCCTTTTTCCATACCCATCCTGTTTCTTATATCTGAGTTCTGAAATTTCGTTCTACTGACGCTGATGAAGCAGTTGCACACAGGAACTATTTTATTATTGATAGCTCTTTCGCAATTTCTTGCTCATCCCTTTGTAATGTCCACCACTGTATTCCATTTACGTTTTTTTATTATTTCATTAAATAACATATATTTTTTAAACTAGCAACTGGGGACATTCAACTTTACTTCAAGAGTCCAATATTTCCATATAATTTATTAATTGTTTTTAAAGTCCGATTCTTTCTTCTTAACATATAGACTATAAAATGATATGGTGTGAGCGCTTGCTTACATCAATCCTGATTTTTTTTGTATTTTTGATAAAGATTATTCTACAACATTGTCGAAGATCACTTGGAAGCACTAAAGCGTTGCCTACTGCTTGACCGAATTTCGCTCTAGCTAGATGGATATTGCCAAAAATACTTAACAATTTGGACTACTTGTTCTTTGGCGTCAAGTATTTGTAAGTCTTTGCCCAGTAAATTTAAAATTTGTGCAGAACAGCCATAAGTTATAAGTTTTGAGTCCGTCAAAAGATTTTATCTCGCAGTCATATTGTGATTTACATGAAGAACTTAGGTAGCAAACTACTTCAGTTAAATATTGCGAAATATGAAGTTTTCCCGATGATTCAATAGTTTCGTAAAGAAGCGCTAGTGCATCTTCAATTGTTAATGCTGCACATTCACACATTGTGCTGACAGAGAAGAAAAACATTTTGCCTTTTCCTCCTCATAGATGTCATCTAAAAGGCTTGTTGACAACGATTTTCTGGATGGCAGCGTATAACCGGGTCTTAATAAGTGACATTAGTAGAAAAAATCTCCTTTGCTATTTATTTGTCAATCTTTTCTTTTTCAGCTGTTGATGTTCTCGTTACGAAACTACTCAAATTAGGCTGATTTTAAGAGTTTTTTCTTTGCTTGACAAATCTGTGGTGAGTGTCGTGGGACTCGAGACGGACTATGTAAGAACTACAGAATTGTCACGCGACATTCGAGCGCCTAAAAAGAAAATAAAAACAATCAAAATAATTATTAAATTGATACCATTGTTAATAAATCAAAAACTAATTCTTCTTTAACAAGGGTTTATGCGATTTTGTTAAATTTATACGAAGATATGATATTAATATGAATACGAAATACTATTTTTATGTACCGTAAAAAATAAAAATAAGTAAGTATATAAAAATTATAAACATTAACATAAATAAAATATGCATGAATTTAAATTTTGATAAGAAAAGACAAAAAGGACATTACATTTTTGAAATAATAAATACCTTAATTTTTTTTTGAACAAGATTTTGAGAATACCATACCTTTTTGCGAGACGGAAAGTTAAATAAAAATGAAATAAGTAATAATAAAACAAAATATTATTTACCTACCTGTATTTGTTTCTTGCTGCTTATTATCACAAACATCATGGTTCTTTCTTGCAGGTTTTACAAATCGCTCTACACTCGGATTTATTTGGATCTGCCATATGCCATTTTTTTTCTCTTCCAAGTGTGTGAATTTTACTATATTGCTAATAGCGGCTTTAAAATATTTGGTAATTGATACAAAACGGGAAATAAATATTCTTATGAAATTTGAAAAAAAAATCAAAATCAAAGTTTGCCCAACACTGGAACAGATTATGACAAAGTTTAAAAGCTTAAATTTTGGTGCGGGCAATGGCGTCCGTAATCTGCAAGAAACCCGACTGTTTCTCTTGCGGACGGTTTAGGTACGACCGGCCTTGGAAATATGTGCAGCGCCAGCAAGTACCACTATCAGCAAAAATCGAGAGCACTGACCTCGCAATCCCAGCTGATGATGACGTTGCCCACGGATCGAAATCGAATCTACTTTTATTAGAGTTGCACATACCTACCGCGAGGTAGGAAAATTTCTAAGTAATACGCCAAAAGGGTGTGGTCGACTCTTTCCATTGACTTTATGCGCTAAGGATACTTAGACATTTACTAATAGGCTATTTGACAGTACAGGAAGCCAAACGGCACGTAAATTGTAGAAGAAGAAGACAGTATTATAGGAGTAATATTACATTCATATTCATATATTAATAATCTGACATATATTATTGCTCTTAGATTAAGTTGAGGTAATTTCAAAGGCATAAACGGATACATAAAGACTCAGGACTTTAAATGAGAATTGCTGTTTCAACAGGTAAGTAAAACCATTTGTTTAATCATAATCTATACTACTTCTTATTTGTATTTGATTTCTTAATTACTTTCTGAAAAGTCTATATTTATATAAGTTTAAGGACATTGGAGTTAACACGGGGAAAACATTGTTACGACGAATGGCAGATATCAGTTGGTGCCAAATATGTTCAATGGAATTAAATATACAGTGGTAAGGTGAAAGCCTTAAAACTGTATGCCCTAGATTTGTGTATAATTATCACAGACGGATTCCTTTTGTAGGTTCAAGCTTTGTAGAACCCCAATTAATTGCTTTTTGGTATAATCTTCGTGAAAATAAATGTCATTATTATACATGTAGTTTTGGATTGTTGCTTTTGTGTCACATGAGGAAGGGGTTTTAGTCAACTGTCTACTGCGATAACTTGCATTGTCCATTACAATGACGCTATTAGGAGGAATGTTTGGAACTAGTTTGTTTTTAAACCAACTTTCAAATAAATCAGCGGTGGTGTCTTCATGGTAATCCAGAGAAGAATCTTTAATATTTTTCGTAGACGGAGAAAGTCCATTTGGAATCCAACCATCTTTAGAGCCAGCATGCAAAATAATTATTCTTTTACCTCTTTTTGATGGCGCGTTTGTTTTACACTTATCAGTTGAGTCAACCCAACCCTCTTCCGGGATATCATAAGTGTCGAACCAGGTTTCATCCAAGTAAATAATTAGCCTTTGTTGTTCTCTGGAAATCCTAATTGTTTCTAGACATTCCAGTGGCCATTTCCGAATTCTAAAAGATTCCATTAAAACTTGCCTTTTGTCAATTTTTTTAAATCTACCCATCAACCCATGTGTTGAATATACTTCCATAAGGTAGTTCTGCCACATTTAACACCGGTTTCATCTTTTTCAAGCCTCCTAATTAAAATATCTAATTTAGGCACGCTTTGTTCCTCGTATAACTGGTAAATTTTACGCCGTATTATATCATGATCACTTTAATCTACACTCGAGAAAATGTCAGCATCGCTTCTTTTTTTCCTCGCTGAAACGGATTATTCACAATTTTCCATACAGTTGATGTTGGAATTTTCGTCAATGTGGCCGTTTCTTCTAAAGATGCTTGCTTGCTGGCGCCACGTTCAATGAGAGTCAAATAAACATTGTTTATAACTTCCTTAGTCTCAATAGAATAGTGCACACGATTCAACGCACGCTGTATTACACACGAAACAAGAATGATTACTAATAAACTTAAACTAAGTAGTATACCAAACCAAACAATATTAAACACAGGTAGGTATAAGATTATTTTCTATTACGGACCACAATTTTACCTGAATTTAAATTCCGAAACTTTAGGTAACAATCTTGTTGCATTGTATGTTAATGACCATCCTTGGATAATCCCATTCAAAAGCAATTGGTCACTTTCTTATATCTATGAATAGACGATACCTTAGGTAGGCTCTAAATAGCTCAATTAGAAAGACGCAAACAACAAAACAACATAATTATTGTCATGTCTCTACGTCGCAGCGACCCTATTTCTTTCTAAATATATCAAGATTAAAGGGACCGTGCACGGATCGATAGATTTTGCTGCGGTACAAGATCGCGATCCGCTTAATGACGAGCAATTCGCCGAGATTAATCTTTTATTGGATCATAAACATTTAGTTTTATTCGTATCCCTTAATAATCCAGGCAATTCCCGATCGATCACCTGCAAATTTGGCACGGAATTTCGCTTTGCGTACTTCCGAGGGCAATTCCAAACCTCATTTCGAGGGAGGCGACCGAAGGCGACCTTTGCTTACCGAAGAATTTCTGTTTACTAACAGATTACGTATATCGAAGCCCCCGAAGAAACGGTCTTTAAAAAAGTCATTCAAAAAGTATTTTTCTTTCAAGTTGGTTTTAATGTATAGATTATAGATAATGTTAGTTCAAAAAAATTAATTTAAAACGCAGAAAAGCGAACATAAGAAAAGTGGACATTCTGTATGCAGTAAAAAAAAATTGTGTGTTGTGTGTTCGGAAACAGTTCTAAAATTCAACCAACAGAACATAGACAATAGAACCAATAGACAATAGAACTACGCGTGCAATGAATATAACATTAAAACTATACCAAATCAAATAAAATCACATAAGACTATCCGAGATACAGGGTATCCTCCAAAATTAATTTATTTTGTGAACATTCTCAACTTCCAAAGTTGTCCAAACGAGTCTAAGAATATTATCGGGAACAACGAATTTCGAAGGCTCTTTTGTTAAAGACTGAACTAAAAAAGGTCCTTTAATCAACTTTTTACTGAACATTTAAATACTACTCAAATTTATCAGAAAAAATAGGGAGTGCATAATATTTTCCAAAATCACATCCCGTAAAATCATCAGCAACAATATTATTCAACCTGACGTTATTAAAGTTATGACAAAAAACGATTCCTAGACATTGCAGCTTGAATTTGCGCACAACTGCGCGAATCCATTCGGAAGTTAAACCTAGAACTTTTTGAATGTCTTGTATATGGCGAGGGAATTGGGAGTAACATTTTTGTGGTCAGAGAAAAAAAATGTCGTGTGGCATTTTATAACATACAATTAGAATGATGTTATCGAGGGCCAAATCACCATCCAAAATCGGTACGCCAAATTTCACAAAACAATATGATTCCACAGATTTCCCCGATTTTGCAAAATAATTTTCAGTTTATCTGAAAAATGTTTGCATTCAGTCATAATTAAAAAAATAATAATTAAAAATGATATATACAACGAACCTAAATATATTTTTCGTTCTTTTTTTCAAAATTTAGTTTCTTAATTTCTTTCTTTTCTTCAACTTTAATTTAGTAATTTTCTTTAAAAAAAGGCATTTTAAACACATCTGGTTGGGAATTTCGGTTATTCTTAATTTTCTGACGATAAAAAATTAATTAATTAATTAATAATGAATTAATTATCTGCACATTTTTATTGATTACCCTAATTCTCATCAAAATTTAAGTTTCTTATTTTTTTTCTCCTTCTTTACCTTTAAGAAAGTAATTTGCTTCAAAGAAACGGGCATTTTAAACACACGTAGTTAGGCATTTAGGTTATTCTTAATTGAGCTCTGTAAACTCATAAATTTTGAGTTTTTAGCAATTGCCGTTAGTTTTGGTTACTCTTTAAATAATAAACAATTTGATATTTGATATTTCATTTGCATTTTTTGGAGTCTCCACTCAACTGACGATTTACATTTTTTCCAGGATATCATTCTCCCTTTGTTTCACCAAACTCACTTGGCATTTTTAAGATTATAAGGCATAAGATAAGGTCATAAAAAATATTTTCTGCCTTTTTTATTCTATTTGGCTTTAATTGCAATTTTATAGACAGAAAATTAGGAATTATCTTCGATGACTAAATGTGTTAAACTAAATTAACAAAAAAAAAATAATTAAATCTGAAGAGAAAAAAAAAAAAAGAAACAAACTTTTAAAATAGTATATTATGCAACAAGTGCGGCCAACGGCATTTGACTCACAAGTTTATTTGACACAAGCGGAATGAGTGACTTAAAAAGTTTACCAAACATGTTGCACACTATACTTTTTTCTACGACCTTTAGTTTTTGGGTACGTTTTCGCAAAATAACACGAATACATTCACTGACTGTCAGAATTGACAAGCTTCAAAATTCAAGACATGGGAAATATCTCCGAAAATATCCGATTTATCCCAAACCCGTGCGGTAAATATTAATGTTTGTGTTCATTTTGAAATTTGATGTAATTTATAGTGACAACACTTTTTCCTTTCTGAAAAAACGTTTTAAGTGTATTTTTATATATTATTTTTTCTTAATCGTTTTTCAAATTATTTTTCATAAGCTAAAAAGTATTTTTCAAAAAATCGTAGAATTGTAGAATCCGTAAACTGGTAAAATATTTGTGAAATTTAAAAAATACAGTATAATTTCGGGGATTTAACAGTTTTCACCAGTACACCAGGTTCCACCAGTGATTTACCGATCGTTTTTTCTTTTACGATTTTGTCCGTCCCGCCCGTTAGTGCGGCGGTACGTTCAATGCGAATTATTGTCGTTTCACAAAACGAGACCGCAAGCGCGTCACCTAATTCCGAAGTTTATTTATGTTTCATTGATATCGCGAGGGTTATTGTCTCGTAAATAAACAAAATTGTATGATAAATGACATCGGCGTCGAGGGCCGCGCCCGACCCGGCGTTCCCGAATGGAGTTTTTAAAACGGGCAGCCTTTTACGCCTTTACACGGTTTTATTGAAACGATAAAATTGCATTAATGAAATTCGCCGTATGCCTCCACTGATTTATTGACGCGAGCGATCGCGTTCCGTTATTCGGGACTCGACAAACATTTCCACGAACTGATCGTTTCTTTTGCGGTAGAAGTCTTCGTCTCCGCAAAATAATATACTTTGACACACGAAAATGGAATTTTCTACTCCCCACTCTACAATACTCAATTATGTATGGGATCAAGTCTGCGAAACGTGTGACTTCGTATACATACAATTTTTTTTTTAAATCTTCCAGATATTGCTTTCAAGCTTTATACCATAGATAAACTTGTTTTTGTATAATCAATGGCGTTCGTGAACAGTACGCCATTGATTTATCGCAATTTTGTTAATAAATTTAAATCAGTTCTCAACCAAAAACAGTTTCTTCAGTTTTTTCGGACGAACGGTTTTTAAGGCTTCTTATTTTGGTTGCATGTGCATCGAACTGGTTAGTTTGAAACTAAAATCCAGAAGAGAGAAAATAGGAAAAAACGATTTCTTCCCAACATTTCAAAATGAAGCATTTTAGGACGCAAGTTTATTTGATTTTTTTTAATTTATTTTTTTATCTGCTGAACGCGCTGTCAAAATTCTGTATACGGGCCCTGCAATCACCATCCAAAATCGGCGAATTTCACACAACACACAACCATAAGATATTACAGATTTCCCAGATTTCTAAATAATTTTACATATTTCACCGACTGTGAAAAATAATTTTTGGGTTATGTGAAAAAATTTTGCATTCCGTCGTAATTAAAAAACTATCCAAGTAAAAAATATACAAAAAATACACTTAAAACCTCCTTTCAAAAAGTGTGACAGAGTATTGTCGTTGTGAAATTTATAAATACTAATTTTATAAATTCCCCAAAAAGTCAAGACGGGCATAAAAATAATATATTTCATATTTTTTGAAATTTTTGTTTCATAATTTTTTTGTTTCTCGTCGAATTTAAGTAACTTTCGGGCTAATTTTCTTCATAGAAAATAGCACGTTTAACACATTTTCATTAGAATTAAAGCCATCACTCCTTTTTTTATCTCATTAGTTAAATGAATAACCCAAACAATCCAAACCAAACACCTCACCAAGCTCATCTAGGAAAAATAAACGGGGCTGTATATACTAATGTCCCGACGAACCGATCTGAATAGCTCGCAATAAATCAAGGGATAAGATATCGGATAAGCTTAAAATAAACTGAACTAAAATAAATGCAATTTATGAATTAATTTGCGAATATACAAAAAATATTTGTTGACACGAAAACCAAAAACCCAAAGGATCAATTATCGCAAAACCGAATTTCAAAATTTTAGGCCGCATCGTTTGCAAAAATTATTGCGAAAACTCATTTTCCATCTTTAAGGGCCTCTCGACGAGGCGCTACATTTTTCCAGTTATTTTCACCTCTAAAAAGACCCTAAGCTGTTTGGGCGCTATTTCCGTACACTCTACTATAGATCATATGAAAACAATAAAAGAAAAGTAGCGAGAGTTAATGTTCCGAGCTATTTAAAGCAAAGTACTTGGCCCGCAGCCCTTACGTTGCTCGTCAATATCGACCGATAATTAGAAACCTCATTCAACGTTTAGCCACCCTTTAAACCGACGTTTAATTCGAGGTTTTATTAAATTTAATTTACTGTTGCCTAACTTGGTTTGTTGTGCAGCTATGCACTGCTAATAAGATAAATTATTCAACCGGTTTTAGCAGAACTTAATTACAAACTGAATTTTAGCTAAATATCAAATTATTTCGCCACGCACGAGAATAGTTATCTAAGTACTTAAGTAACGCGATTGTAAATAAATTTATCGAACCTGTAAGTTTCTAACGCCCATAGAAACCGAGCTGGGACAAGTACTCATAACAATTAAAATTTTCAATAAAAAAAATGTAGTTATGCGTATGTGCCTAGGAATTAACTGGTAAATATGTTGGGGTTTGCCGGTGGGATCGAGGTGTGAAATCTATCCTGTTATCGGATTAGAATTTCCTGATTTTTGATATCCTTATATAATTGATATTGATAAGCTAATGTATCTACTTACTGATTAATTGATGATCGTATTATGAATTTAATAATCTTGTTATTAGGTAATATACCAACATTTAGTCAATATATTAAATGGATATTATAAAAAGATTAAACTTATTTTGGGCACTCGATGCAATACCAAACCTACATGCACCTAAATGCCACCTTTTTCATTGAGTTATAAATGCATTTCACCCATTAAGCAATATTTGTCAAATCAAACCAGCGTCAAAACTGCTGTGCATATGCGTGTTTGAAACTATTGAACGCACGTACCGAACAAAATAGGAAACCATTAAATTATGAACAAAAAATTGAAGGAAAACCCATGTTGCTAATCATAACCTAAATTTTAACAAAGGATTCCTTTACTATCGATCTTTAAACAAGCTGGCGTAGAAAAATAAACGGACTATTTATAAGAAAACTAACTAAATTCGCAAATTTATTGTAAACCTTAGCATTTTCATTCAAAATTCGTTCAAAAATGCACTTTCAACGGGTTGCCGTCGGAAACATGGTTCCCAAAATTATGCAAATTTAGATGGTTTTTCAAAGGTACCTCTAAGTCTTCGTAGCTCCTAAACTGTAGGATCGAAAATCCATCGACAATATCCTCCTCACATAGGGGTTCTTTAAGAAGTTCCTTTTGTTTTTTTCGTCGATTGGGGGGTCTGGGGGGCTTTTTCGGGATGACATCTTCGGCCTCACTTTCGTCGGCGTTAGCTTTGTTAGCTTTTGTTTCCTTTAATTCTTGCTGCATACGCTGAGCGCGTTTTCGCCTTCTATTTCTTTGTTTTACCTCTATTTCCATGGCTCATTCATTAAAAGCACTCGCTCTGCGGCGAACCATTCTTGCCATGTCAAGAGGAGGCTTTCGGTCTGTTATGGCGGAATTTTTACGCGAATTACGGACGTCTCCATTAGTTCTTTGGCACAATAACCATCGCACACACTTTTTTACACTGTCCGAAACACTCGACACACACTTTAATTCACGAGAAGGTCCCGAAATACCCGAAAATAAACAATATTTACAACAACGGTCTTAACAGAGTCAATACTGTAAAATGTCGCGCTACGGACGCGCCGCCTTGCGGCAGAAATGCAGAGCGTGCATCGTTGCCATATTGCCAACGGAAGGCCGTGTTCCCTTACAAGCCCTCATTTCGGAACAATAGGATATAGAATTTAGGAATAGGGGATACTGCAATCGCAATATAAGTGAACTCACCCCCTGTAGCGCAAAGCTAGAGGCTTGGGAACATTGTGTATGAAAAATATATTTCTTTTTTTAAAAACTTAGGTACCAAAATAAGAAACTGCATTGATTGGTAAAAGTATATATTAGAAATACACAAATTACCTAGAAAGTGGGCTAAGCATACCAAAATTAACACAATTTTTGAATAATAATTATTTAAGCTTGCAAAGAAAGATGTACTCGATTCTTGTATAACTTTATGGAAATTGTTTTTGAACTATTATTATTATTTATACGTACCCATATTTTGGTAAGCAAAAATCAAAATAAATAAAATATTGAAAAAAAAAACTAAAAGCTTTGCGATTAAAGACAATATGCAGTTGTATTTGTCAAACATTCGAAGGAAATTTGAATTTACGGCGAAGGTGCAGGGCGAAAATTAAAAATTTTGACATGTTTTCATTGTAATATTGTTCTTTGGTCGTTACTGTTCATGTTCTGTGGTAAAAGCAGTGTAGGTGACAGAATTTTAAAAATTTATTTTGTATTGGTATTTATATATTTAATAACTAATATTTGTAGTGATTGCCAGTTATCTATAGTATAGCATAGCATAAACCTACCAAATGTCTGAAGAAAACACTATTAAGTCAAAGATCGGTTTGAGTGTAAAGATTTACAATGCACTGCTGACCCTATCCTGTCTTATAGGACTGGCTTTGTCTCTTTACGCTTACACAGTTGAACTTAAAATGGAACAAGATAGGAACTACAAACCTCTTTGTGATATTAATCCTCAGGTCAGCTGCACTAAAGCATTTGGGTCAGAGTAAGTTTCATAGACTTGAAAATTTTTCATTTTTTTCTATATATTAATCATTTAATGACCTCCAACTACGCTTTAGGTATGGTAAAGGATTTGGAATATTTGGAAAGAAATCAGTTTTGTATAAGCCTAACAGTTTATTTGGTCTAATGTTCTATAGCATGATAGCAACATTAGGTAAGTATCATTTAATTATAGGTACCTATAAAATGTTCCTGTTAATTTTTTAATTTTTCTTCATTTTTTTTTTAGTACAATCTAATACAAAAGTCAGTGTACTGTCAACCCTTGTACTGGTAACACTTTCCAACTTTGCCTCCCTGTATTTTGCATATATATTGTACTTTATACTGGCAGATTTGTGCCTAGTATGCATCGGAACCTATGTTGTCAATGTAGTTAACTTGATTTTAATACAACAGAAGTACAAGAAATTAAAACTTGTGGAGATCAAACTCAAAGGAGACAAGACAAACTGAATTAAACAGGTTTTTAAATATATGAGACTACTTGAAATGTTGATAAATTTATTTTTAACACTTAAATGTGCTAAATTTAAATTAATGTATGCCAAAAGAAATAATCTGTGAAAAATATTGTTATTTATATACATTAAAGAATGTTATTGTAATATTTCATATACATAAAATAAATAAATGTAATCAAAATGCTTAGCCACATTTTTTCTCTTATATCTACATTTTTTTTACACATAATGGTTGGGGTGTACAAAAAGGCTATAATTGTAGTGAGACCGATTTAATAATTATGGATTTGGCTATAAATAACAAACATTGTTTTATAAAGAATAAAAAATGTGTCAAATGTTTTAAGTAGTGTTACAAATGAGTTGTGGATAAAATGGAAAGAATATAAATGCAACCAGCACAACCCAAAAGTAATGTAGAAATGGCCACAATTGGATAGTGGTCTAAATCACCCACAGGAACATACAATTCGATATCATCAAATAACTGAAAAAATAAACTATGATATATCCATTGTATCATTAAAAATTTAACTTACAGCCTTATAACTAATGTTGTACCATATTTTCGTTGATGTCATATGTAAAACTGGAGCTTTTACTTCTTTTCCACAAATTTTATGTTGCGACTTTGGACACCATGTTAATAAACTTGGCTTTGGGAAAGACACTTTAGCAAATCTATAACAATGCAAAATATTGTTTTACTCGAGTTTTATGTTAAAATTGGTGTGTGAAATTCTGTGCTTCTGTACCTACCCTCCAGTAATTTGTGCCCGTTGATACCTTAAATGTATTGGTAAGGACAGTGGAAGTTTTTCAATCTGGGAATTGTTAAAGAACACATAAACATTATGCTCAGTAGCTTTATGTGCAGGTACCTCAATATCAACAGCTCCATCAATAACTACATCAAGCTACAAAATACGATATGTTAGGTTATTGTTATAGTGATAATAAAAACTAACTTTATTCAAGCGTTTAAGGTCTGCCACTTCGTCTGGATTGACGAATAGTGGAGGAGGCAAATTCAGGTGAAAAATGATCTCACAAAGTGATTTCACCCATTGTTCTTTATTCAGTGACGCTTCTATTAACCACTTTGCAACTCTAGAAAGGATATTTAAAATATGTTTCGAGACATGAGGCAGGTTATGCTAACCTATGAAAACCATAGCCTTGAATATCCTGGGTTACGGAAAAGTCCAATTTTAAACAATCCTTGTTTGCCAAAGCATTATTAAAACATAAAAAGGCTAACACAAAAGCAAAACAAGTACTGCTGTTTTTCATTCTAATATATTAAAGTTCTTTTGCTTTCAAAGATGATAATATGCCAGTTTTGATATTTCTGTAATCAATGTTATTCTTAAGTTTCCCATACTACATATTAATTGAAATTTAAACCTCTTGTACCATATTGGTTATTCCTGTCTTCTTCCTCTTGTTTTTCATGACTTATAAATTTCGAACTAAGGCTTTCTACCATACCCGGAATAGTTGTGATATCTTTTAGCACGTGCATTTTGAAAGAAGAAGTTTGAGCTCTAACCTAGTTTTTTTTTGTTTAAAAGGTGTGTTTGCCTTTAGTTTCAAACACACTTTCAGTAATTTCTATTGTACCATGACTCGATTTGCTCGATCGAAGGGTTCAAAAGCTTCAAATGAAAGAATACCAGAGGCTGCGACATCGTGGAGTGAATTAAAACAACAGTTATTGAGCAGTAACAAAGATATATTGGAGAAAAATATCCGTGAAGAAGCACTTCAGAGAAGAGAAGCTAATTATCAAGCATTTTTGAGAGAACGTGAGGAAGAACAGTTAAGAAATGTGACGTGGGCCGACTTTGACAGTAAAGAAATGAGAATCGATGGCAAAACAGCAGACAATTTGAAAAAAAGTTCTCACAACACAAATGGCCCACATTTAATGTTAAATGCAAGGAAATCTATAGGTGAATTCTTAGAGGAAAATGATAGCGATGAGCCTCCAGAAGAATGTGGTGTGAAAGATCGTCCAAAAGAAGTTATTGTTGAAAAAAAAATAAAAAAAAGGAAACTGAAAATTGTCAGTGTTAGAGAAGAACAATTTCATGATTTTGAGGAGAACAAAAGTGAATTAACTAAAGCTAAGCCTCAGTCTCCAAGAAGTTTACGAAAAATTGAAAAAAAGGACAGATCTCAGAAGCAGTTAAAGAAAAAATTAAAACAAAAGAAGGAAAAAATGAATGAAGTGGAAAAAAATGTTAATGAAAATGTCATAGAAAGTTCAAATTCACTTTTTAAAAATGCAGCTGAGGATTTGTCAAAAATTGAAAAAAAAAAGCAAAGAAGAATGAGACAGGCAGAAAAAAGAAAGAAATTTAAGGAACTGAAATTGAGCCAGTTGAATTCAGAAGCCTCAAAGGACAATGTATCAAAAAACAATGATTACAGTGATCCTAATTCCAACTTATCTGAAGATGTACTAGCCAAAATTGAGAAGAGGAAGCAGAAGAAAATAAGACAAGCAGAAAAAAGGAAAAAATTTAAGGAGTTGAAGAAATTGGAGGAAGGTAGTAAGAACAGTGTTGGAAATAGTATTGATGATAAATCTACAATCCCTCATGTCTTGGCAAAAAAACACAAGGTTTGCATTTTTACTTAGGGTGAATAATAGGTGATTAATGTCCAACAAATGGGTTTTGCAGAAAGATGTCCCCAAGATGATAAACAAAAGAAATAAAATAGGAGATAATGCTCAGCCTTCTAGGAAGAAGTCATTGCCAGAAAGGATGATAATAAATGGAAAATCTGTGGATATAGACTACATAGAAGGTTTCCCTGTTAAAAAAGAAGATGCAGATCGACTAAGAAAACTAAAAAAGGAAATGATAAATAAGGGAGTGCCCAGGAGTGAAATTGAAGTTGCTTTAAAATTGGAAAGAAGAAAAGCTGAAAAAGCACTTGCCAGAGAAAAGAAGAAAGTATGTCCAAGCGTGTGGCTAAATGTAACCATTTCATGATGTTATTTTATTAGGTTTGTTTTAACTGCAGATTATCTGGTCACAATTTGAGTGAGTGTCCGGCATTAGGCAAAGGAGAAATTGTGGAATCGGCGGGAACGGGAATTTGTTTCAAATGCGGATCCACAGAGCATACCCATTTTGAATGCAAAGTTGTTAGAGCAGATGCTTATAAATTTGCTAAATGCTTCATTTGCAATGAGCAAGGACATATATCAAGACAATGTCCGGACAATCAACGCGGGCTTTATCCTAAAGGGGGTAATTTAAGAAAATGAATTCAAAATTTTATTTCTTTGTCTCAATCTGGGTATTTTAGGGTCCTGTAAGGTTTGTGGAGATGTGACACATTTAAAAAAGGATTGTCCAAATTATCAAGTCCAGCAGCAACAGCTGCAGCAGGGTATCAATGTGGGCACTCTTGGTGATAGTAATCCTGATGATTTTGATACACATAGAGCTACAGTTGGTAACAGAATTGCCAAGCCAAGTAAAATTGTTAAATTCTAGGTTGTCCTAATGCCTATATTGTTCAATTATAATTGCTATAAGTTTTGAAAATAAAATTTATTTTATAACTTATTGAATAAAATATAGTTAATTCAAAAATTGCATTTATTTAAATTTCTCCTGCAGTGGTTTCTGCTTCTAACTTGTTCTAAGTTTTGGTTTCCTTAGATGATGATTTGGTTCTAGGTTTCCGTTCTATATTTTTGTTTCGTTCTTCTAATGGGCGCGAGATGGCGCAATTATGAACTTTTTTCTGACGAAAAATAATTTCAAAACATTTGTATCGAAAATATCAAACCATCTTACTAATCATAGTTTCCACGCATAAGATTTTCGATTTTCAGAAGCTTTAAATGGTATAGATACCAAGAAAACGTGCTAATTGAGTCAAAAGACCATGTGTCTATTGCCATTGTTTGCATAAAGCTAACGGATGTCTTAATCTTTATTTTTATGGACTTAAAAAATGTGTTTGAAGCAACATATAAAAAATGCCAATTCTTAATTTTTTCGAATAAACAAAAGCAAAAGGTTTAGAAGTATAATATCGTACCGTTAATTTCTTCAGTCGATATTGTGCTACATATCTGCAGTGTCACCAAAACACCTATATTTTTCTGTCGTTGCATTCGCTTCGTAATGATGAGCCCTATCAAATATGCCTTGCTGTTGTTTACAAAATGTCTGTTGATTTGTTGCTGGGATTTGAGCAGTCAAGGATTTGATGATTATTATTACGTGTCAGATATAGCGATCTATTTTAATAAAGTGTTTTTGGCACTACCCAGGAAAACCTGTTTTAATGGGGTGAAACATCCGACGGTTCTAGAAGTTTCGTGGACTGAATTAAGTCATCCGTTATCGAAGACAAGGTAGGTCTGGTTTTATCAAAAGGGGTTAACACAGTTAGCTTAACACAGTCCAAATACGAATACCTAAAATTTACGAAAAAGACAGCTTCTTGGGAACTATCAAAATTTTGTACATTAAATAAACGCTTTTTGAATAACTGAATGGAATGGATTTAAACAAATAATTGCGCATAAAAAAAAAGAATATTTCGGGAGTTTTAAGGCAAATATTCTGTTCTGAATCGTCTGCTGTTTTTGGCAAACGGGGTTTTATAGGATCAAAGCGATCAGTGGCCAAACAGAGGGTAACTGTAGTGAGCTGCTGAATGCAGTTGCGCTGGATATCGAAACAAGAAGATCAAAGTTATGGATCTTGGATAAGGGCAACGAGGCATGCTCTCCCAAATTAATAGCCTACATGCTATTTCAAAATTCTTTCTCCGATTTAAACATAGTGTTATCAGGAATATCCGGGAAAATGCTCAATACTATTGTGATTGACGACGAAATTGGGATTCCTACTTCAAGGTCTGCAAACTACAACAGTCGTTTGACGCGTTATGGTAGTCTTTTCAATATTTGCAGGGCTTTTGTAGGAAATACCGGAGAAAATTCAATCGTCGTCATCTATCTGGATGATATGGAGTGGAGAAAATTCGCTCTCGTAGAAGCGAACAAGTTTTTACCTATCAACGCCGATTTTATAGCAATTTCGAAAGACAAATCTTTACTATATTTCACGTCAACAGAGTCCACGACTATGTTTTCAACCAACACAACCAATTTTGCGGAACCGATCAGCGAAGTTGCGGTATGTTTTGGTCGAAGCGGCAAATTTGGATTTAGCAAAACGGCGGTACTTTTTAGAGTGCAAATGTTACCGTTTTGGGCCACAAATTGGGGGTTTCCAGTGCTTTAGAAACCGATTACAGAAACGGGTTGATTTATTACCTTACCAGAGATTATGCTGTGGTTAGATGGTCAACCGGGTAAGGATTTCCAACGCGTAGAAAAACCAAAAATCTTTACACCGTTTTAGATATCCAATGATGGCGGAATACCACCAGGTGCTTGCCCAGTCTTACAAGAGGATGCCGTTTGTTTCTAGAATATTCACAGGACCGCAGAGAGGAATTTGGGCATTGGTGAATCCGTTCAGTCCGCGGGAATGCGATTTTATGAATCAATCGGTCGCGCTGGACTCGCAAAGTGTCACTTTGAAAAAGCGCGCGATACGAATAATGAGGTTTAACAAGTTTCTCGATGTTTTTCACAACACTGAAACTTCGTTATTGTAACAATAAATTAAAAAAAAAATGTTAATTGGACGATTTTTATTTCTGATTTTGGTGAGAACGGTTTACATTACGAAAATGAAAAAAAAAATGATTAGGAATACGTTATAGCCGACGGATTCTGGTGGTCGTTTTTGAGAGGGGTCCACGCGATTTCTTTTATAAGTTGGATCAGTATCTGCAGTAAATGGTGTCGGTTTCCCTGAAACCTCTGCGCAGCCGCATTAATGGCGATTTCCAGACATGTCATCGCGTCTGATTTTGTCAACTGGATAATATACAGCGATCTGAAAAAACACAAATTATTTACTTGTCTCCATACATTATAAATACGTATTAGGCATTCAAAAATTTGAATAGTAGTTTCATTCATTTCTAAACCAGAAAATATACTAGTACTAGCCTTCTTTATATAACAGAATTTTGAAAAAATCTTTAAATAAGGAAATAGTATATTATGCAACAAGTATGGTAAACTACATTTGAGTCAGGAGTTTATTTGGCCCAAGCGAAGCGAGTGTTTAATGAACGAGCTACTTAAAAAGTTTACCAAACCTGTTGCATACTATACATTTTCTACGACCGTTAGTTTTTGGGTACATTTTTGCAAAACAAAACGAATACATTCACTGACATGACAAGCGCCAAAATTCAAGCCGTGCGGTGATACCCCGGAAATGTCCGAAGTGACTCAGATCCGTGGGTCAAGAAGCTCACGTGGTAAAGTGACTCTTTCCGCACGCCAGATCGGTGTATAAGTACTTAGGTATTTTACAGTAGGGAGTAGAAAAATAGGTTTTTTTGAACAGAATATATTATTTGATTTTATATTCCTGTATTAAATAATTACTAAAACCTTAGTAAAGTATTTGAGTGTTTTAAGGTTCATTTTGAATACTATAAGGACATCACATTTCTTTTATATCTTACATTTTTCTAAATAGGACGGTGTTTGTTCCACTTAAGAAAATATTTTATAAAACACCTCGAAGTTGGAAAGGCAGTATCGTCCAAACCCTTTGATACTTTTAGGGTAGATTTTGCTGTGACTTTATTGTAATTGAAGAAAAAATTTGGATTTGATTTCTATAACGTCGCATTCGTGACACCTAGTTCCTGAAATCAAATCTAACAAAAAAAAAATGCAAAAGTGTTGTCTCATTTCGTAACAAGGAGAGTTTTTGACACTAGCATAGTGAGCAATAAAGTAAAAGCTCCCTTAATATACTAACTACCAACAACACCAAGAGAGCGCAAAAATAATAAATAAAAAATAACAGGAATTTATATGGGAAATTTAAAAGGGAATGATGAAAATGCTGAATTACTTAAAAGGATTCTGCAACTGCATAAATACATACAGTTATTCGATATCACGTGAAGTTGGTTGTAGTGAAAAAATGAATCATCAATACTGACGTATATAAATAGAATTATAAAATGTAAACTAATTAGGTACATGTGCAATGTCCAAAAGCTTAACAGCATTAAAAATTTATTTATATGCCAACGCCGTATTACTCACCTGACGACTGAAACAACGCCTTTCGCCTTTGATGCAAACGTCAGGAACAATAGCAAAGCTTTCAAACACCGCTCGACCTATAAATATATATATTTTTTTGCGTAATGCGAACAACAATATCGACAACAAATAAAACGAATTCGCTCACCGTAAATTTAAACATGTTCGACGATACTTCGACAGGGGTGTCAGCTTAAACGCCCACGAAATATCAACTACGAAAGTCGTATAATTTTCCAGCATGTTTTAATTTGGAAGTCAGTCCCTCTTTTCCAAACACACGTCCCTAACCGTAATATTTTATAATGCAAAGTCGCACGCGATTGGCCAAAGGATTGGGCATACTAACCCTATTGGCTTAGCAAGTGCGTGTCACCCTAATCCGTATTTATCGTTCGAAATTTCTAGTCGGACATAAGTTTTTAAATGGCGGTTAAATAAGGACAATTTTCCGTTTAAATGCCCCACGCTATCCGTGGAGACAACGATTTCGTATAATTTTCTTTAGGCGATAGAAATACCGATGATATTACCTGAAAATTATCGTCGTTACAAATTACAGGTCTATAGGAAATATTTTCTTTGAATACAATATGGCCGCACGATACCGGAGAGATGATTGCCGCCAACTTGTAATTAGCATCCTAATTTTAGAAATCCGTTTATATGTTGCACAATATCACCGGGAAATTACTGATCGGCTAGTAATATCGTTCTTATTCAATTTTGACTTACGAAAATCTGTAGTTTGAGATCTGTAGTTTGAAATTAGTCCGGAAACTTTTACTGTAACGAAGCGTGGAGGGTGTTGTAATGTTTGATATTACGTAAACAAATGAGAGGGACGCGCTATGTTATGATTTGGAATACCAGATGATATCAAAACACAGTTAGTTAGTTTCTCCGAAGACAACATCGGAACGCTTCCATCTTAAAACTTTTATTTCCACAAAATATTTTGCCTTCTTTGAACCTTAATATATTGCGACAATAAGTAACTAAAATTAACTAAATCTAGTGAAATTTATCCAAATCTAAAGAAAATTAGGATAATTTGAACATTTTTGCTTTCAATTATATTTGAGTCATGTATTTTGAAAGTGGCGTAAGTCCATTTTCATCTTTTATCAAGTTGGCACTTGTGACATTTATAATTTATGCTGAACTGTCAAAAAATAAATCGGTATTGAAATATACTTAGTACATATGAAAATTTTATATCACGTTCTTTTTCAAAATAATGTAAATACTGAAAATCCTAATTTTGAAAGTGACCTAAGTCCAATTTTTATTGACGATGTCAAAAAGTGCTTCCCAAAATGTTGGAAGCAATGATGAGGGTAACTTAAATTACATTTTGATCTTAAATTGAAATATAAAGAATAATATTTAATTTTTCTGCAACGGAGGAAGAGGAAATAATTGAGAATGAGAATTTACAAAACAGCGCCTTCAAAGAAGGATTCACACAACACAATTAATTAAACATAATTTAGGGAAAAGTTACGATACACAAACGGGAAAAAATTATTCCTGCCAAAGTTTTTCGAAATAAAGATTGCCATGCCGAAAAGACTGCTTGAAAATTTTTAATGAAACAGAAAGAAAAGGTGTTTTCGAAATGTTTTGAAACCTCAGGAGACTTTAATAAGCATAATATATCGCTATACGAGGCGACCGGACGCAGTGTTGTAAAAATAAGACGTCAGAGAAACGGAAAAGGTTCATGTAGAAATGAGAATTTTACGTATTGGTTAAATTGTAAAACAGGCAAAGTTGCTGTTTGTAAAAAAATATTTTTAGATACTTTTCAAATAAGCGAAGGACGATTGAAACGTGTATTAAAATCTAAAAACGTTGGCAACGATTTATGTCGGCGTTTGCATGGATCGTCGAGAAAAATATGTGACGAAGCAGTTATGATTGTTCAAAACCATATTAACAGAAATTTGAATTCCTTTATACTAGGGACCATAATCCCGACAGAAAATATTTTCGTCCTGAATAAAAATAATGTTTAATTTTTATGAGCTTCACTATGAAGAAAATAATTTTTTATTCTCCCGTCTGTAAAATACCTAATTACCCATCGATCTAGCGTGCGGGAAGCGTCACTTTACCACGTCAGTTTCGTTTCCCACGAATCCGAGCCACTTCGGACATTTCCGGAATTTTACCGCACAAATTTGGAAGCAATCGGATGTTTTCGGAGATATTTCCCACGCTTTGAATTTTGACTTTTGTCAATTCTCACAGTCATGTCAGTGAATGTATTCGTGTTGTTTTGCGAAAATGTACCTAAAAACTAACGGTCATAGAAAAAGTATAGTATGCAACACGTTCGGTAAACTTTTTAACTCACTCGTTTATTAAACACTCGCTCCGCTCATGTCAAATAAACTCGTGAATGAAATGCCGTTTACCGCACTTGTTGCATAATATACTATTAAAGCAGTTAATGAATGGACTTATAGAAAAATATTCAATAATTATTTTAATCTACATTTCCACCAACCACGCAAAGACGCGATCTATTAAACATTAAAGTCAAAGCATCAGAAAACCATGAAGAACAGAAAAACTTATGGAAGAACATGATATTCATTTGAAGGTAGCAGAAAGCGTTACGATTTCCAAAGTTAACTACTTCAATGGCTTATTATAAATGTAACATGTATATTTTAAATTTAGGCATAAACAATTTCTACAAGGATAATATATACATGTACGTTTGGGATGAAACAAAAGCTTCTAGAGGTTCATAAGAAGTGGCTTCATGCCTCTTGAGACACTTAAAAACCCTAAAAGGTGAAAAACACATCATTCCATATGTGTGGAGGACAAAACAGAAGCATCAAAATATCTTTAATGTGGTTAAAAATTCTATCTATGGGAAATGATGTGGAAATCATAGACCACAAATTTTTAATATCAGGGCATTTATTTTTACCTAATGTCAGAGATTTTGGTGTTACAGAAATGTCGTTAAAAAGAAATCAGTTATTGTATTTGCCACAAAATTATAATAATATAATTAAAAAATGTAGAAAAGGTAATACTTTCATACTGAATTAAATGAAACAAGATGATTTTATATCAACAAGACTTTTGGAAGAAGCAGTTTACAAAACAAAGGTTTTTAAGAAAACTAACCAAAACAACTATGGATGAGAACGCAGAACTTAAAATTCTTAATTTATTGCCACGTCGGGGTAGATCTAAAAAATTTGGGAATATTGTATTGCCATCGTTATATAAAAGTATAAGATGCATCACATCACTAAAATATCGACACATGATGGACTTATTGCGGTATATACCTCCGAAACGCCATAACTGTTTCAAATCACTCCCGCATACTGAGAATGTTAGCGAATAACTTGCTACTAAATTTATTTCGATTATCTTAAAATATAATTTAACTTTTTTTATTTTTAAGCTATATGTAACGGACTTAGGCTCTTTCACTTTTTGTAAAAAAAAAATATTTATTTCGAAAGTCCTTTTAGGGTAAGCAAGGTCATATTATACACTTAATAATAGCGACTTTTTAATAGGATGTATAAAATTAAATCATTTCAATGCGATTTAACATTGCAAGTCAACCATATATCTTACGTATATTTTCAATTTTGTAAAAACGCAAAACCTTAAGTATTTCAAATTAAAGATAAACGGACTTAAGTCACGTTCAAAATGAACGGCTCATTTAACCTAATGTCAATCAAAGACGCGTTCTAATGAGTCGATTTTAAGCAAAAATGTATATTTTTATTGTGGATGAATTTTTAGGCGACAGAAAAAGTTTTGAAAACTTATCGACTAATGCTTGTCACAAAAGATTTTGAAGTGTTTTAAAATAATTTGAAAAAATTATTAAAGCGTGTCCTTGGGAAAGGTCTCTGAAGCGCGAAGTTTACTTACCCTCACAAAAATTCTTTTTTTTGCCAAACCTTCACAAAATATTTTTGGTTTCGTCGTACTTGCCTGAAGAATTTCATTCCGTAGTGACATTGCACAACTCTTAATTGATTAATTTTCTTAAATGAATCTATAGAAAGAAAATTAAATAGTTTTAGAACAATTTGCTTATTAATTTCTAATTTATCAATAATTATTAGATTGTTGATAACTGCTTTGTTTCTATAAAAAATTACAAGTCATTAAAATTTGCCGGGAATTAAAAGATAAATTAAAAAAATGAATTGGTGCCAACTTTGATGCATTTTCAGTTAAATTGAATGAATTGAAATGAATTTAAAAATGAATGAGAATTTATCAGTTGCCTTATTGTTTTTTTTTTTTGCTTCTGTAAGCTGCTGTTTCTCTTTCTAAATGATGTTTCTTATTGGACTGGATTTTCCAGCAACCATATCAGTGATGTTTTTTTTATTACTCCGGGAAATCAGCAAATGAGCTTAGCATTTAATGTTTTTCAATAAAAATACTGAGATATACTAAAAGTTGTTTATTATTTGCTATATCACACGTAAACTGCGCCTCACTTGGGAAGTTCGCTGACCATGAGGGATACCAACTGCGAGGCACCACAACCGACTGTATTTTGAATGTAATCCGGGAAATTGCTCTGTAGCACTCTCATTTTCCGCCTCAAATAGTCTGGCACGACGTGGGTGGCCAAATGGCACGGCGGGCTTACGTACACCGGCTTACCTAGAGCGAAGGGCTCGTTGGTATCCCATCTATAAACTTCTTGTTCACCTTCGGGTCTGAAGAATACGGCGGAACCACCGTCGGTGCCCAAGACTACCAGTTTGCAGTCTTTGACGCCGACACTTTCGATTTTACCCTGCACGCATCCGGCTCTTAGGTAATCGGTACGGATGGAGAATATCTTGTTGCTGGACAAGTAAGTCAGTATAATGAAATTGTTTCCGCAGCCTTTTTGAACTAAAACGGCGTAGAGGACGTCGCGCTTGTTGCCAACAACGGCATTGGGAAGAACTACACGATAGCTTTTGTTGGCAGCGACGTCCACTACCAAAATTGATCTGGTGGCTCCGTCGATGACGTAGACGGTCGGCTTGCCTTTGACGTCGTATTCCACGAGGACGTATTGCAACCTGGAGGCTTTCACTACCAAACCGGACAAATCGACATTTTTCACTCTCTTGCCGGTGTTTAAGTTGTAAGCGACCACTTTGGGCGGGGCTTTTCGGACAGGATGCTCTAAAGTGTTTACCACACCGATGTCTAAAGCCCACAAGATCCCGTATGGGTCTACGAATAAGTCGACCACGTTTTGCAGCGCCTCGCAGTTGCCTATCTCTTGACTAGAGAGACACGGGAAAGGGGTCAAAACCGCTTCGCAAGCTGTAGTTTTCAAACAAACTTTGGCCAACGTAACGGCCACTCCTGGCTTGTACCTGGGCAGCGCTACGTAGAGATCATTTTGAAAGATTTGCCCGCGGGTGGCGATCAAATGTCTGGGGTCGTATTTGCCGCTGGATTTGTACATGGACTTGATTTCTGGTGATGGGAACTCGATCGGTCCACCAGTCCATTCGATGGTATCGCACGAGGATGCTACCACGTAGGCGACAGCGGCCGTTGCGAATACGAGGCTTTTCAAGATCATGGCTTCTGAAATTGTAATCGTTTTGATTAAGGGAGAAAATAAGGGAAGTGAGTAAAATCGACTTACCTTGTTAAAAGTTAACAAGAATAACGGAGTGTGAGACAACGTTCTTGGCGACGCCTTATATATTAAATTAATTGTTTGGATATTTAAAGGTCACGGAAAGTCAACGATCGATGGTGTTTGCAAATACCACGACACGCGTCTTCCTATACATTTCCAAGTGCACCGCAAACGGATTCATGAATGGATCTTTTTACGGGTCAGCAACATTTGCTGCCCGGCAAACTTCAAGTTTGGTCCATTTTAACCTGCAGATTTTTGTAACTGAAATTTCCGTACCTATGTGATGCCGCCTTGCACTCAACTTAATTTAATTATGGAGTGTACAGGGTGGACGTGAGACCGTTTTGACAGGGAAACCTGAAATATAGGATGTTTTTCAATTTTTGCGCATTTTGAAAACTGATAACTTGAACATGAAAATATAATTTAATGAGCATTTAGTCATTTATAAGACTAATTTATAGGCTAGACATCTAAATAAGCACTTAAAATAGTAACGGGAAAATTGATATAGAGTTTTCCTCTTAAAAACAACAATTAATTTAATTGAGATTGTCAAGTGTGTATTTGAAAGTATTTAAAGATGACTCCATCGGAGGTATACACACCAAACTCTGGATAGCTTTCTTCTGCAAGATAAATACTTTCTGAGAATGGACCCGGGAGCCCCAAAAAAATAACCCTTACTCAAGTTTGGACTGTATAAGCCCCAAGTTTGAGAATTCCATTAGAAACAGCTTCTTATTAAAGAATGTAAAGAACTAATCTAGGAAACTTAATAACATATATACTCCTTATTGGGTTTTCATCAACTTTAATGGCTGGTACTGCCAATTAAATTCATCACAGAAGAAGAAATATTAGAAGTTAAAAATCGTAAATATTTCAGTTGCAAGAGTTTTCGTTTCATTAGGATTTTATTTATAATTATTTTACCTAATATCTGGCGTAGGAACTAAACCCTAAAAACTTTTTAGGGAATTATTCAGACAGAATTATTATTATTTTCAATATATAATGATATAAAATTTAAATTTTAATACGAATCCCTTTCCATGATCTTGTTGCGTGCTGTGTAATTCTTGTTTCAGGTTAGGTTAGACCACGTGATGTTGTTAACATTCTCTAAGAGTTTGGTCTCTTAGACTTTTCGACATTTATTGCTCAAATGACTTTATACCAAGTGATAAAACTAAATTAAAATGCTAGATTATAGAGGGGCTAAGTCATTAAATAAATAAAAGTAAGTTATAGTCCAGTTAATAATTGTTATCATATCGTCCCAAAAAATTATAAAAATTTTAAGTACTTATTTTGAATTGAATTTAGTGCAGTTGAGAGAAGCTAATATTCTTTAACATTTTTAACACTATGAAACGTGTTTGCGATTATTTTTGTACGCGTCATCTATTTCCTCGAGAAAGCTTTCGCAAATTTGGTAATTTCTTAAAATAATTTTCTCATATATGTAAATGGTCGAACGATTGCTTGGCGATTTCATGCGTATGGTATGTCGAAATTGGCGCTCTCAAAACAAACACGCTAAATACCATAACTAGCAAATAAAATCCACGTCGAACTCATTGTTTACCATTCAAAAACAATAAGCATCACGCGAATAATTATTCATGACTTGATTTTGTAATTACTATCGGTAATTGTTCTGTAATACAGAAAATTACTTTACGAGAATTGTTCGTTATTTCGTTATATTTTTGTATTGAAAAATTGAGACCCGTCTGAGATTCTATCAACGATATAATTTCCATTATTTCACTTCAGCAGCGTATTTTTTTATAATTTAGAGTTGATTATTTAATCGCTATTTTTCGCTCAATAATTATTCCTGGGTGCGGCGATAGGGTAAAAAGAGTACCATTATAGGTTTTTATTTCCATAAAAGACATTAATCCTTTTTAATGCTGCAATTTTGCGAAAATTTAATTAAAATTTTAATAATAATAACAATGAAAGACTTAAGTGTAAAATAATGCAAATAATTTAATAAAAAAAACTATTACATATTAATGTACCCGTAGTATATATCCCAATACGGTTGCAGGAATAAAGGTGTTTATTTAAATTATAAACAACATAACAACAAGTTAAAATTTTGACTATCTATCCCGAAAGAGACAGGAAAAAACAAGTACATAAATTTCCATTTTATAAGTCGTAACTTATATCGAACAACAATGTAGTATAGTGTTCCCGTGAGCGTAAAACAAAAGATAATAATAATATTTTTATTCATTTAGCGCACATTTACCTACAAATTTCTTTAATTTGTTCATTAAGTAGTTTTTGAAAAAGTTTATTTTTAAAAGCGTTTTTGGTTGCTAAAGTTTTATATTTTATTTGGTAAATTATTTAAAAAGAGACGTTTAAAAACTTCGATTGCCATGCATTCGCGGAGTAAATCGTAAATTAAGATTATGTACTTGACAGCGATAAAGAGGTATGGATGAGATTTTATACTTAGTATTTTTACATAGAGAACTGCAGAACGAAGAAATATTCATCCTCAGACACGAATTTTGAAGCTTTTGAATTCGGCGTTTATCAAAATAGTTTAAAGTCTTAAGTTTAAAGTTTAAGTTTGGTTAAAGTTTAAGTCAGACTTGCCTTATATAAAAAAAACGACAACCAGTACTAATATTTTAGTAGCAAGTATTTGCGAGAGGTTAAGAATTAGGACATCGAACAAGAATGTATTTTCAAACGAAAAATTAAATTATTCTTTAAATTTTTCTATTCAACTTTTTTCTATTTCGCCAAATCGCCACAGTTAGTGCCCTCTATAAGTTCCGTTAATTCAGTTACATATTTTGCACCTAAGATTCCCCATGATGTCAATTGCTATAGTATTCCTGTATTCCTTAAACTAGCAACATTTGTAAGTACCATATGGCAATGCTGTTGTTGTTTGTAACTTTACATTCTGCATTTCCCCTTTTGTTTGAATTAGCTCTTACGCATAAACTTTAATTTTTTTTGCCATCGCATCTCTAAGTTCTAGTGATACCCAAGGCACAGCTTATAAAATTTCCTCGAGTTGTTTTAGGATTTTCGAAGAATCATTCGGGAAATATATAATTCTATGTAATATATATTCCTTATATAATGTATGTTCTCTATAATCTGGTGATCAGTGTGAGGTAGTTGGGTTAATTGAAAATTGGGCATCGTAAATATTATCCAGATAACGTCCAGGTTTAGTTTCTTGCCTATTGGACGGGACGGGTTTGTCCAAATTGCCTCAATTATTAACAAGCTTGAAAATGTCGGGCTTTACGAGATGGCAAATCAAAATAACCCGAAAACCCAATAGCTAAAACATGAACGTTGCATTGGAAGCACAATGGGAAGCACTTTCCTGTTTATGGAATTGACACCGAAGCGAACGCTTGTACTCGAATTATAACAACCAATTTCAAGGTTATGACAATAAAAAATATTCGTTGAATTATTTTTAAACATAGCACGACCCAGGTTCAAGAAACATTTGCCGAATTTCGATATAAATGACGGGTGGATTGAGAACCCCGTACAAACGTTTCGGCTTCACTTGGGACAACCAGGTACGTCAGGTAGCTTCAGCGTCAACCCCTACGACTTTAAAAAAATATTTTCTTGTTTGCTTTCAGGTGTAGGAATTTAACATGGGCATCTACTCCGTTGCGATAGTAATCGGTGCCCTAGCCGTGGGCGCTCACGCAGCTTGTTGCGACAAAAACCTCATACAAGATCTCAGCTTCAAACTGTCCGGATACAATGTGCTGTTTCCCTGTCCTAGCACTAAAAACATTTACGCCTCAAGCGGTAGATACATACCCAAAAATATTATCCCCACGAGGTTCCAGATTCTCAACGATTACGCCATTGTCGCTTTATCCAAGTTCCGCCCAGGAGTGCCTTTCACTCTGGCCAAGTTCTCCTTGAGGACCGAAGGTTGCGTGGCCAGTCTGGAACCTTACCCCTGTTGGAACATACAAGAAGAAGGTAACTGCAAAGCTATCCAAAACGCCGTGGACGTTGCCTTGGACGCTGCGAACAACCTATGGGTTCTCGATACTGGCATCGTCAATACTTTGGAACAGCCCGTTCGCAGGTGTGCTCCTAAACTTTGGGGCTTGAACACCGAAACAGGCGAAGTGATCAAGTCGATTAGCTTGGAGCAATTCACAACCAACGAGAGCAATCTGCAATATTTGATCGTAGACATCACATCCAGCGGCAGCCCGGTAGCCTTCATCTCTGACGCGGGAGCCGGTGCTTTGATCGCAATCAACTTACAAGCGGAAACTGGGTACCGTCTAGTGCTTCCGCCAGCGGTTTCCGAAGGTTGCGGCGTTAAAGACGTCCTCTACGTTCAGCTTGCGCGTAAAGAAAGCGGCAACGTTCTGTATTTCACTTACCTCGGTTCGCCCAAACTGTTCTCCATTAAAGCGGAATATTTAGAACAGGGTTCAGCCTGCGGGGCGGTAGTCGAGGTGGGCAGGAAACCTCCAGGTACGGGGTTGGTACTGTTGGGCACGGATAACGGTGAGAACTTGTTCGTGAGATTCAAGGGCCACAGCGACATCTACGTGTGGAACACGTGTACCGAATTTAGCAAGGACAAGTTTGTTCTTGTACAAGCGGGTGACGATTGCAGGATGGCAACTCAAGTGGTACCAGGGTACAGGAGGCTAATGTGGACGCTTGAGAGTAACTTTCACGATTTTGTTTGCGGACGCACTGGTTGCGTGGGCCCCTCGGTTGTTATCCATCCTCTTGTCAAAACCGATCATTAGGTGGACTTGTTGATTGTCTGTGATGCTTGTTAATAAAATTTTTTTCGCCTTAAATTGTGTTTTTGTTATAGGCGTCAATTTAATACAATATTAATGCGTTGAGTTCATCTAGCCGTGAGAAAGCTATTGGATTCGCATTGATGTTCGCTTTCCCTTACAAATGTAATAAGCTAGAAGCTAAAAGACATCAATGCTACGGCGACGTCAGAATTTAGATTAAAAAGAAATTGAAACAGTGCAAAATTACGTGGAATATATGCCTCACCTTAGTTTCAGCTGACGTGACTCGCCTCAGTAAACGCGAATCCATTTCCCGTAATAACACAGTGCCATATTGAGACGGCTTCGTGATTTTTACGGAAGCATTGACCAATAAGTGTGTTTATTAAGTCGTGACCAAGGTTTTTAGAAAAATTGTTACATTCTTCGATTTCAGTTTGGTCACACATTTAGCTTTTGGTACTCGCTATAAATTTTGCTTGTTTATTTAATGACAAACATGCAAAAGAACATAGTAATATGGGAAAGATTGTGGAGTAAAACTTTAAAAACATTTTCGTTGGAGGTATGAGATAGTTATACAAGTGCCAGTTGGGGCGACATATATCTGACAAAGACGATGTTCCTTGCGAGAAATGTATATAATATATAGTTCAAAAGAGAATTATCCATTATAATGTTCAACAAATACGGAACAGTGTTCAATATTATCTATCAATCAATTGTATCAGGTCTAGGAAAGAAGAGCAGATATTTTATGATGCAGTAACAAGATAATATATTTTTTATTTTATTCGCGCTTTGTCAGAACCAGACTTTATTGTATATTGTATATTTTAATATGGTTATGGTTAGTTTCCAGCTTGCCTGAGAATTTAAATAGTTGTGTTATCCTAACAAATTTTTGTCATCTATGTAATTGTATGTAATGTAATGTATGTAATGTAATTTATTTAGATTGTGCGTTATGTCGCCGTCGCGTCGTTCTCAGAACCAAATGGACTTGATATTATTATTCGGGTTCTCCGAATCGCTAAGTATCGTAGAGTTCACCAAACGATATACCGTTTTTGCAACCTTTTATGGTTTTGACTTCGGAATGACTTGAAGTTCCGCCTATTGTAAAGCGAAAGGGACCATTCTTTTCAGCACGTGTAGCACAATCCATGGCCGTATTTAAGATGTTAGCCGACAAGAACCGACAATAACTATTGTATTTTAAGAGTAGGGAAATTTTATTTGAATAAACTAAATTCATATTAGTGTGCTTTTCATAAATCTTTCTAACACAGTACCTACTTTAGGTAACTCGATTTCAGGTTGAATTTGCCCATTAGATAGGTTGATATGCTATGTTAAAAACACCAAACAGTGTTGTCGTGATGGACGACGCCAACATGCGGAAAAAATACCAAATGCTATGTATTTTGAAAATTCCTACACAAAGAAGCAGTTATTGGCAGTTCTTGGAGCGGGGATTCAAGGTTGTACGTCTTCCACCATATCACTGCAATTTTAATCCAATAGAATTGATATGGGGACAGCTGAAACCCAGTTTAAGAAGAAACAACACCTCGCCGAAATTTAGTTCTAGAGAAATAGAATTAATTAGAAGTGAAGTAGAAAAAATATCTATTTCTAGTGGGAAAAATTGTGTAGAACATGTCATCGAAGAAGAAAATGTTTAGAGAAGTCGACTAGTGCCAGAATTAATTGTTAATATGAGGGACGAGTCCAGTGACGATAGTGATTATTTGGATGTGCACTATCAGACAAAAGTCCCAACATTATGTTTATACATGCAAGGTATTGTATACAAATACAATACATTAAAGTAGGCTATGATTTACTGATAATCCCAAACAAAATAAATGAATTTATTTTGACATTAGTTTTAAATGCGTATTAGCGACGCCTCAAAAATAGAGCAACATTTCCAAAATTTGTTCAAAAAGACGCTTTTAGTAAAAGTAAATGCAAAAATAACTCGTGTTGGGTTTATTTTGTGCTAAGTTAACCATTTGCATGACTAGCTATGCCAAGAGGAATTCCAATTTCAAAAGACCTAAAGCAAAGAGTAGTAAATGCATTTAAGGAAGGTACCAATCAAGCTGATATTTATGTTACCTCGGTACAGCGTATCTAGAATAATTTCATCGTATAATGACAGATGACACTTAGAAAAATTACCGAAATCGGGAAGACCCAAAAAAACAACAGGTTTGACTGACAGGTGCATTAAACGTATTGCTCAACAAGATCCTTGGAAGCCCGCACCTCGAATAATTGCCGAAATTCCAGAAATTACGGTTGGTATACGAACTGTGCAAAGAAGATTAGTAGCTTCAAAGTTGTTCAGTAGACGGCCAGCAAAAAAACCGCTAGTTTCAGCAAGAACCAGAGCAGCAAGGTTGGCCTTTGCACGCCGGCATTTAAACTGGACCATCAATGACTGGAAAAAAGTTCTATTCAAACGCGATATAAAATATTCAATTCTGATGGAATGCGACGTGTGAGGCGACCAATTAAGGTTTAACCCTAAGTACGTAACACCTACAATTAAACATTTTTTTTTATGGGGATGTTTCTCATGGAATGGAGTAGGTCTATACACTTCATTAATGAGACAATGGATCCATTTGTTTATAGGGAGATTATGCAAAATGTTATGCTCCCTTATGCAGAGTGGGAAATGCCGTTACGTTTTATTTTCCAACAGGACAATGATCTAAAAAACAAATCCAAAATAGTGGCCGGCACAGTCGCCAGACCTTAACCCAATTGAAAATCTCTGGGAAGAAGTAGAACGTCGCATTCGTACACAAATGTTTCTAAATAAACAACCGCTGAGAGATAAAATTAATGAAGTTTGGACAAATCTTCCAGAAAATGTCACTCAAAAGTTGATAGAGTCAATGCCGTTGCCAGCAGGTAATTCTCAATAATGGATATTCTATAAATTATTAAGGCATAATTTTAACTATTATTATTGTACTAAAATGTGTGTTTATTTTTTTTTTAATAGAATACAATACAATACTGTTAAATACAACTTTTTGAAATAAAATCAAATAAAACACTGTTAAATACAATTTGTTGTTTTACTTTTGTCGCCTTCATTTTCGTAATTTTTTTTATTAATTATTATTTAGTTTTCACCAACTAACTTAAGGTACACCCAAAATATTGTGAAAAATTGCTTGCTATGCAAGGAAAGTATTTTATCATAACTAGCAAAAAATATGAACTAATTTTTTTTTTTATTAATAAATACTAAAAAAATATGTTTGTTGCTCTACTTTTGTCCGATAGTGCAGAATAACTTTTTTTAAATAAATATTCCAACATTGTTTTATAGCTAAATTTACTCCTTCATTTACATTTATAATAAACTTTTAAAGGTAAGAATGGATTTTTCACTGCATCGACTAATAAAATTCCAGGAATCTCAAACTCTATATAAATCCGTCAGCTCTCAGCATTTGTATGCACGAAGAATCGAAGTACTGTTCTAGGAGGTCATTGAGAGAACCCTAAGCGAGGTATTAATGCGGTTAGACCTTCATAAAAATTTACCAAAGTTAAAAAAACGGTATATTGTTTGGAGAACTCTATTCGGATATTCCTTGAAGAGGGTTATAGGTAAACTGGACATCACAAACGCATAATAATTTACTATAAAATACTTATTATGGTATGGTATGGTATGATAGGTAAAACTCTACAATTGCAAGATGTTATTTAAAATATTTTTTGGCTCGTCAATCAACAAGATCGATCAATTAAGAAGTGGTCAATTGACGTTCAATAGACGAGCTCCAACACTAAATATTATACACAACAACCTTAAATAATTAAAGAAGAAAAAAATCCATTATACGAGGAAAAAATCATTGAAATATAAAATCAGGGAGGAAATTTTTTTACAGCTCGGTTCAAATCCGCATCAGTTAAAAATATTTCCCACGAGTATAAAACTTGACACGCGTGTATGAAGCAAAAGCGAGAAAGTCGGAAGAATGCGACTTCGCCGTTTGTGAAATGCGGCATTTTATGTAAATAATCCCGAAATATGTTTAACCAGCCGTCCGAATTGCATATTGTTGAGCGTCTAGCCATTCTTTACTCGCAATGTGTTAAATTGTCAAGGCGGGTTACGTTGAGAATGAAAACAATGAAACGTTTTAAGCGCTGAAAAACGACTCTCTATTAGGCATATAATAAAAAAGGATAGTGAATAATATTGTTTAAAATTGGGGGCAATAATTTTCTGTGGCGTAATTTGGTTGCTTTTTTCAATGAAAATATTCTATACATTACTTCTCAGCACTTTAAACGGCTACTAACCACAGAACACGGACAGTAATGCAGTTATATCCAGTCAGCTTTGGGATCCTCAATAAAGTTCCATTAGCAAAAGGAGTCCAAGGGATTGTCGAACAGCACTTTGTGTACTCTCTGTGAATATTTATGTAATACAATATAACAATATAACAATTTGTTATATAAAGGTACATTAATGTTAATATCATAGGCATAATTTGAAGTCACTGATTATGTATACGATACCACGTATACTAACTTTCCTTGCGAAAAAATTTGCATGTCCGGGTAATTTCCAGAAAAGAGCCGTCCGAATTTTAAATTAATTTGATCCGTTTGCCACGAACGGCGCTGTATAACCACCGTTGGAATTTAAAAACTTGTTTTCTCGATCGTATCACAAAAGCGTATCTCGGTTGTTGTCTCGTGGGCATAATATGCTAAGTAGAATGTTAACAGAATAACGAAAAGGCCAACTTTTACAATATCAGCGACAAAATCAAACTATCCAGTTACTGATGGTGTAAGTTACCAGGAAACCGAATCCGTTAATTACATACGGGTGGTGATAGCAAAAGAAAAATGTTTTAACGACAGTACGTTTCTATATTTTCTCATATTATTTGATGACGATTCAGTAATTTTTTGTGTAACTTATTGTCACCAGCATGATATGCCGAATAGCATTCACATTTACAGCAATTAAGGTTTTTGGCCTCCGAAGAAAAAATATTAAAATTGTGTTAAATTGTGCTGATAGGGACGATGTGCATTCCAAGTTCATCGAAAGGAAACAACTTACTTTCCCACGAATCGCAGCTCATGAAAATTTGGTAAATCACATTCACCAACAAAATATTCTTTGTAAAACTAAGTGGGGTCCCTAAATAAAATATCAACATATATTACATAATTCCTCAAAAAAACTTGGGAATGTAATTTTTTTTTGTCCTATGATATTTAATAATTTACGTGGATAATCTCAGTACCGCATCTGTTATTTCCGATGTCTTTTAAGGTTTTAACAATTTGTGCAAACAGTTTGCTTTATTGCATTTGACTGATTGATTACCATGCATTAATTTGATTTAATTTGAATTTGATATCTAAGTCGCAACAAAGTAAAAAGGTGGCTAATTGATATATGAATTTTCATGACTAGAAGAACTTTTACAACGACATAATTATTTTGCACTCTTTTAATTGTTAACTCCAGATATATAGATGATATTCATCCAGAATTAATATAAATAGGAAACTATTAAGTATATAACCAACATGTGTCAAACTGCCTTATCAATTGAGGTTATATTGACAAACAGAATCAATTTCAAAGAAACTGTTTGTCACTTGGAGGTTATGAACGCGTTAAATTTTTGATATTTATATCAAAAAGGAAAATATTAACCCTAGCCAAAACATAGCTGTTAAGTTTAAAACAGAAACAAAATAAATGAAACAGCTTTTTCTTTTTTCAACAATTTCTCCTTAAAACTCTTAAATAATAAAGCATAGTATGTACAGGAAGTTCCAAATTCGAGGCTCGGAAACCGTAAGAGATACGAAGGTCGTTAAATAACACCAAAGGTGTGAAAATTCCGACTAGTTGCGGAGACATCCGGAATAATCGAAAATCGAAAAAAGTTTCGGTTAGTTACTACCAACTTAATTTTTTTTAATGCAGACTTTCATTTATTATTTTACATTTCCAAAGGGCTCGTCATTCTAAAAAGATACATTTGATGATTTACTAATGAATAATAAGCTGTTTTAAAATGTGGAAAAACACGGTAAGTTACGTATTTATTACAATTCACTCAGTATTTCCAGAATTGCTGGTGAACGGTACCTAAATCAATATCCTCAGCGAGTGCAACCGCATCCAAATTTTTTTGCCAAATTGGATAAAAATTTGTTGCAATTTGCAATATTATAAATATAGCAAAATTTTTGGATCTCTAATTGTTTTTTTTTTAAATTTTGTTCAATCGTTATGGTGGCAACAAGACTTCTTCGCAAAATAATCAACACCTTAAATATATTATTTTCAAATAAGTGGCCTGCCAGAAGTTCGTGATATAACTCCACTAAATCGTTCATATCGTGAGACCCCGAATGACACAAAAGAACTCAAGAAATTTTATATTTTCATAATTAATTTAATCAGTGTGTTCTTCTCAGGTTCTTAGTTGTTGTTCTTGTTGATTTGCGTTAATAAAATATTTTTTTATTTTTACTTTAAAAACGTCTTTTTTTCTACTCTAATAATTAATTAACAAAATAAAATGTAATTAAAATTAAACGAATGCATCAAGACGGTATGTGTAAATTTAGCTTTATTGTCAATTTTAGAACGTTATAGTTCAGTACATCATTAAGCGTGACACATCGTTTTCTTTCAGAATGACAAGCTCATTCAAAATATTTAACTGAAAATTCCAGTCTGTTGTTAAAAAAATGAAGTTGATGATTGGCACACAAAACCAAAACGTCATACTTAAAACTTAATTTTTTTTGCTAAAATTAAGGTCAGGAAAAATGGAATGAAATTATTGATTTTCGGATTTTCCCAGATACTTCCGAGACCAACCAGAATTTTCTCGATTGGGACAACCTGTACATATTCTTAAGTAAATAAAGTTTAGTTTACAACAAAAGTGGAAATCCTGAAATGAAGTTTATTATTTAGAAATCTCGTTACTGATTCATCAGTTTGGTTAGGGTAAAAGCAAGAATTATGCAACATGTGAGTTCTCTTGTTCTCTTCCATAGCCCGCGTCCGGGTGAGGTGTTAAGGTCGTCCCGGTTGGACATATTTGTCTGCTCCGCCGCCGCAAAAGAGGCGTGGTCTTTTTATGGGAACCGGAGGCTCGCCGAGGTCGTTCTTGAAAGGGTCCGCAGCCGTTCGATAGCGAAAGTGTTTTTGGTGCAACCGCTTCCACCGGGTACTACTACTACCGCTGGGTACCACTGTTGGGGTGCGCGCCGTCATCGGTTTGTTTTGGTGCGTGTTTTGATTGTCCCACAGTTTGCTCGTGTTGTCTGTGACGCGACTTCGTTTTAGTGCGTTTTTTTTTTATACGGAGGATCGCGTAAAAAAGGTGAGCAGTTCGGAAATTCGTTGGGTGAACATTTGACTCAAATATTTTGAAGATTGTAACACTGTCTATGTTTATGCCTTTTTAAAATTCGTCGGAACATTCTGAACCTTTTTAGATATGCTAGCATGTCCGTTTTGCAGTTTTCAATTGAACATTCAAACGTCAGAGATGTAGAGATGGATGCAGTTCTCACTGTGTACCTTGGATGTAGACAAATTATTGGTTCATTGGTAATTACCATGAAACACAGTACCAATTTGCACAATCTACATCTATGCAGTCACCTACACCAATAGTTTGTTTGTTTATATTATTTGCGTTGTGAGTAATACAAATACGTACAAAAGATGACAAAAAAAAATTTAGGACATTAGGATTATTAGGATTAAAAATTAAGTATTTGATAAATCGCTATATTATTTTTTCCAGTAAAAAATGAATTGTTTTCTATCTGATTGAATATTCAGCATTTATTTGTTCAACTTTTGTGGTAGGATATCTACTACGTCGTGTGATGTTCATGTGAAGTAAAACGTAGTTATTTTGGACTCGTACTTTTATCAAATTTGCTTTTATTTCATCAAAACAATTCAAGGCTACACAGCAAAGGGGAAAATATTACTATTAAAAATAAAGAAAAAGCAATTACAGAAAAGTCAGTAATGACTTGCTTGCTGGTATGAGTTAATTAATAGCAAGTAAAACATTTACATTTTATGACATAAATGTCAATTTCTTCAACTTTTTTTTAAAAGAGTTAATTTTTCCAGAAAATATTTGTACGAATAAAACCACAGATATTTAATGAAAACTATAAAATTGGGCTGCCAAACGAAACTGACATGGTAAAGTGAAACTTCCCGCACACCAGATCCGTGTGCAATTAGGTAGTTTACAGACGGGAATAGAAAATAGTATATTATGCAATAAGTGCGGTAAACGGCATTTGACTCACGAGTTTATTTGGCACGAGCGGAGCGGGTGTTTAATAAACGAGTGACTTAAAAAGTTTACCGAACGTGTTGCATACTATACTCAGTTTTTGGGTATATTTTCGCAAAACAATACGAATACACTGACATGACCGTCAGAATTGACAAACGTCAAAATTCAAGCTTGGCAAATATCTCCGAAAACATCCGATTGCTCCCAAATCCGTGCGGTAAAATCCGGGAAATGTCCGAAGTGGCTCGGATTCATGTGAAACGAAACTGACATGGTAAAGTGACGCTTGATCGGTGAGTAATTAGGTACTTTACAGACGGGAGCAGAAAAATATAATTTTAATAATGAGATAGAGATGGTATACTTGGTGCAGACCTAACTAGCGTCGTCCACGTATCGACAGTCCAAACTCCAATACTAAATGTCGTTTTTAAGTATTCCACTGTTGAGCAAAATTTTTCTAATATATATCATTATTTTTACGACTTTAATATTGGGCACACCCATTTTATGAACGGTATTTCTTTTTCTGCTTGCATACAACTGGTTGAAAATGCAAGAGGTATGACTGCAACTACCAGCTGCCAACGCAGTTCACTTGGTTTTCTATAATAGATACATAATCAAGACCTCATACTGTTTGTTTACAAGCTTCACTGCGTTTTGCACTAACGACGGGAAGGCGGCACATAATTCTCGATTGAATACTATTAATTGGTAGAAATTAGGAAACAATGGGAACGACACCGAGCGACGAGATAAATTAACAGCAATGGAATTGCTTTGAATGCAAATCAAGATTTATAGAGGGCGCGGCATAAGTCGCCGGATGGTCATAAATTGGTCGTTTCGAAACGATTTCGAAAAAATTTTTATTTTAAGAAAATCGTTGGTGTGTTTCAGTGAAATCTGTCCAACAAAAATAGAATTATCAAAATTGAAATTGAAAAGGAAATATTCTATGTATTCGAACTTCAAGGAAATTAGTATTTAGCCTGAATAAAAATTCGTTGGGACTTTATTCCCAAAGAAATCCCCAATAGTCCTTCTCGATATTTGAAATCAAAAATTAATCCCAGTTAGCCATGACATGATAAGGTTTTAGTGCGCTTTTGAGAGATATATCTAACAAAAAAAAAATCAAAATCAAACTGTAATCAAATATTTTACAACGATGTACAGCTTTAAGCGTGGTGCAAATGATATTTCAAACACCCTGTATTGGAACATTATAAAAGTTGGCATAGTTGAGTTCTAAGTACCCCTGAATAAGAATTCGTGGCCAATTTATTTTTTAAAAAATCCCTAATAGTCCTTCTCTTTTCTCTTTCTTGCTAATTATTGTTTTATGTTAATTGTCATGGAATACTTCGGGTTCACTGCCGTCTTACTAATGTTCACCGAATAATTTAATAACTAATTAATCTATGGTCAGATGTAATAAAACCGGGCCATCAGATATTTCGTGAAGAAATGCAATACAGAAAAATTAAATCATCGAACGGTGCTACTTTTCTACGGCTTAATAAACGACTGCGCTGGTAAATACCGGTAGCAGTCGGTAATTAAAATTTGGTATACCTCCACTGTTCAAAGGCAGTCTCAACCCGTGACAAAACGCTTCTTGCTACACGGTTCAATGGCGTCGCGATTATTTTTTTTTCTTATTCACGCAACGGCAAGGTCGACAAATTTTACGATCGGATTGTTTAAATAGGAGTTAAAAAAATGTTATTTCCCGGGACGTCGATGAACTTTGTAACATGTTATTCGATATTTTAAGGAGATTTATTCACGATCACCACGGAGAAGCGACAACGTGTACGTTATTCTAAGCGAGAGAAAAATTTGTTTTTCGTCAGCAACCCGCAATTTATATAGTTAATTCGACAATAAAAATGGAAATTGCGAGAAAATAACAGAGGCAGGTAATTATGCAGACCGAAGCGGTATTTTAAAAGTGTATGAATAGGCACCTCCTTGTGTCAGCAGAAAAGGTTACACCCCGCATTGAGATTTAATTTCAAGGCAGCAGCGAAACCGCCATTCTTTGTTTTAATACTACTATCTGTTCTGAACCATACGGATATTGAACAATTTTTTTTATTTAATTAAATTAACAACATTAACAGCATACGTCAGGAACTAACTTAATACATAACGAAATATTAAATACCGAGAAGAAAAAAGGGCCTTTATAAATGGGTTTGCGGCCATAGGAGCTTATGATGTCTATTTTCGTTGCACTAGAACCAGACACTTGAGCTATTAGAGATTAAAATTATTTTCTTAAAAAATGTCTGCTTTTTGCTGCTTTATAACATGTTGATTTGATCGCATGCAGGGTATTGACAAAATTATGCACAATTTGAATTTGTATAGTTTTTCTTAACAATTTTGTAAATTTTTGTGATGGTATTACAGTAGCCTGTGGAAGTTTCTTTGAAAAATCCTTATCAGGTATTTTAAAAATTTGTGTTGTGATTATAAGAAAAAAATAGTTTCATCTTTCTGCATTTTTATATTTTTTAAATAATATACCACACACGCTGATTGGCGTATATTAATAGCAAAAAATTGTTTTATATCTTGAATCTGTAATGTATTTTATATGTTCTTTTTTGTAGAAATCTTTTGTCAATATTCTGTTATTATTTAAATAATCTATTAGCCTATATCAACAAAACGAAGTGACAAATACATATAATTTTGTTATTTTCATTACTTTTATTTTCTTCCTCTTCTTCTTTGACTAGGGTTATGGTGCCTCTTGTGAGAGAGACGTCCAGGTATCTCAACATCCTTGTATTGGAGTGCCTGGTGGTCGTCTTGTTCCAGGTTTTTGTTTTGTTGCCCATTTGGTTACTGGCCTCATCCACTCGACACGGTCTCTCCAATAGCGTGTCCTTTATCTAATCCACCTTACAATGTCGTCTACATCTAGCTGTGTTCTAATAGATTCTCTGCGCATCCGATCTCTTAGAGTAACTCCTCTTATATTCTTCAGTATTCTCATTTCCGCGGTTCGGGGAATTTTTGTGGTTGTTGAGTTGCCTCCGCGGGTCTCACACATGTTTTGTATATCCTGACTTTACTTTCAGCTGATATATATTTGTTCTTCCAGATCACGTCTCTGAGAATTCCTCCAAAGCGTGTGGCTTTATTAACTTGTGCTCGAACTTCAGCTATCACATTTTTGAGCTGGATATGTTGACCCCTAAATAATGACCTATTCAATGATCTTCTCGTTTACAACTAACTTGCACCCGACCGGTTCTTTGCTAATCACCATAGCTTGTGTTGTTTTCAGTGTAGATGATCATGTCACAGTTTGTGAGTGTAAATAACATTAAGTCTGATTTGGCTTTGGTTGAGTTTGGAGTACCCCATGGCTCCGTTCTGGGACCCCTCCTTTTTATTATATACATAAATGATATTTGCCAGTACATGATGTCTGATACTGAGATTGTGCTGTTTGCTGGCGACACAACGTTTATTAATTCAAACAGGAAGATTACTACCCTGAATAATATTGAAACATATACTTTATCTAAGGCTAAAGCTTGGTTTTCAGCAAATAATCTACAACTTAATGAAGCTAAAACGAAGAATTTATTAGTGTCTAGTAGCAGTAGGTTGACATGTGGCAGGAGATGCAAGATTCTGGGCGTTACCTTGGATGACACTCTGAATTGGTCACAATACATTGGCGAGCTAAGTAAAAATCTTTCAACTATTCATTTTCTTTTGCGCCAACTTCGCAGAATGGTGAGTTTTGATGTATTGAAGTCAACTTACTTTGGTTTATTTCAGTCGTGTATAAACTATGCCACCAAACTGTGGGATAACTCCTCTTATGTCATTAAAATATTTAGGATGCAAAAAAAGGCACTACGGATAATTACAAATTCAAATTTTAACGAACACTGTAAGCCATTGTTTATTAAACATAAAGTAATGACGGTTCCATGTATATTTATATTTCAAAGTGTTCTTGAGATACACTCCAAGACCGATAGTTTGCCGAGGGGTTCTGATTCTACATGACACCCGGA